CTTTAAATACGTGTTTAGAGCGCAAACCGAGAGAGAACAACCTACCACAAGAAGGGCGACCATTGGGCTCGATCCGACACTCGCCATTGCCACAGAGTGACCAGCACAACAATGTCTAATAATTTCTTGTTTATAGATCATCAAGCTTACCTCGTAGCTGGCGAAACTGAGGTTTGAGAAGAAGAGCAGCAAAGCGATCGCGCGAAACATCATCGAGAAGCCACCGAGACGCCCGGCAAAGCGCGTTGTAATAAAAATTCACCCCTCCAGGAATGTGTATTACCGAAAAATACTTACATTTATGCAAATGTAGCTCATACAGAATAGGCATTCAAATTGTTGAAGTAAATGTAGAAACTAAAGATTCATCTCTATAAATGCAGATTATATTTTCTGGTTACAACGAAAAAATACCTTAGTCGATCTTAGCAGAACCAAATACAGTGTTCCAAACTATCGGCCGTTTCGGTTCTCGAGATTCTCTAAAAACAAAAGCTGTTGTATAGCAGTAAAAAACAACCTGTACCGTTCTACCACCGAATGCACCTTGCATGGTTGCACGAGCACCTTGGCGATCGAAGAATTCTAAAGTGAAGAGCGGACCTTCCGCTTTGCGCCTAATACGGCTCGACTTGGCGCGATTTGAAGATTTTGTAGCTGAAATATCGCCGTCGCATTCAATGTCCGTGGCATCCTCGTTTCCACCAATTATATAACCCCCGTCGCTAGGTGCGTGCTGGCGTTTTGGTCGTGCATCCACTATAGCTCGACGATCAACGATTCTGTCATTTTGGCTCCCAGAAGCAAAGTTTTCATGACCTTGTTGGTTGGATGTTTCAGCGATAGGCATTCTGGTTTCCGGAGCAGAAATCTGCTGTTTGCGCGGAATTTTGTGTGGGACACATGGAGCAGATGTAGACATCAATTGAGAATGCTCGTTGGCACCGCCTTGGTGATTCTGATCGGGAGGGGGAATAGATTGAGAATTCTCGTTGACACTGCCTTGGGGATTCTGACCGGGAGGGGGAATATATTGAGAATTCTCGTTGACAGTGCCTTGGGGATTCTGACCGGAAGGGGGAATATAGGAGTAAGCCCCTGCTCGCGGATTCGTTTCCGTATAAGTCACATTTTGAGAGAGCAAACTAGGTTGTATAGGAGGTGCAAACTGCGCCTGACCGTTAGACATAGCTTGGAAATTCTGAGCCGGGGGCATGGCGTAGGGTGCAGGTCTCGAAGTATTCGAAACAGGATCCGTGTAGTTTAGATTCTGAGGAATGTTTGTAGCTTGCATACCAGATTCAAGCGTTTGAAAGTTAGCAGGGAATACGTTTTGATGCTGCGGATGACCCGGGGTAGCGTTTTGAAATGGAACGGCGTCTTAAATATAAAAATTTTTGTAAAAAAGATTCTGCTTACGTTGTTGCATGGGTATAGCTTGCGGGTTTGAATTGTAATATTGATCAGTCATACTTTTCAGCGGCAATTCAAGTTCAATTCGATCGCTGCGTCTGTCTATCCCCCCCGCGGTAGGTCAAATTTTATGATGACCGCACTTAGGCGGGTCCCAGCTGGATTAGTACAACGCAAAGGGTACAAACCGGAAAAAAAAGCCCTCCTAGGCCATAAAAACGAACGTTTGCTGACCACGCTTTCAAGCGTTCGCTACGTTTGCTGCCCTTTTTTAAAGGAAGAAGCAGTGATATCTGAAAAGCAGTGTAAAAATTTCTAATTTTCAAAAAAAAGGGGGTAATGCAAACTATGTTTTTTCAATAAATCTAGCTCGGAAAAAAAGGATATATAGAAACACGCGTTCTCAAAAACACTGCTTTCGAAAAACGATGGAAAGAAACGCTTTTAAATTTATTCACCCCTGCTCTCTCTTCATGTTTTGCCAGTCGTTAGGGGGTAAAACGACTTGGACATTAAAATTTTTGAAAAATTACAGCACATTGCTAGAGAACTCGGAAAAAATTTGCCGAATTTTGTACTTTACCGGATCCGACGCAAAAACTTTGCGAGATAAAGCCGCCGATATCCGAAATTTGGAGGTTATCGAAGGACCGCCCAGTGAGGAGCAACTTGAAGGCTTAAAAAACTGCATAATTGTTTTGGACGATCTGATGACCGAAATGCCCGAAGCACTAATGTCACGCCTAACCAGCAAAGTCACACATCACCAGGACTGCACTTTGATTTATTTGAGTCAAGACGCTTTTCGATCCAGACGCACAGCTCGCATAAATGCCAACTATATCGTACTGCTTAGGTCCGTTTCAGATTTGTTACAGGCTAAGCAAATAGGTCTACAGTGTTTCCCGAACCAGTTTTCTTACTTTTGGGACAGCTACTTGGACGCCACTGCCAAACCTTTTTCGTACCTGGTGATAAACTGCCACCCTTCCCTAGAAAACCGTAACGAACGCCTCGTAACCTCCATTTTTCCAGAGGATAAATACCAAGTTTGGTACCTGCCCACTTAGTTGTTACTTGTTTTCTTGTTGATGAAGTGCGCTCGTCTACGGACATATACGCGTTTTCTGGAACAGTTGTCTACGGTCAAGAAACCTCGTCAAGTTATTACTAGAGCTTCTAACGAAGAAATTCGAGGCTTAATTGAGCTTCTTGCTAACCTAGTCAGGGGTAAAATCCCTTTGTTTAATTACGAAATTAAAAAAGTTCGTCCGCATCTTACGATAATCCAAAAAATTGCAAAAGTGCGCAACTACGACACTGCGAGAAGGTTGTTGAGCGAAAAAAGCGACGAATTAAAACCTTTTCTAAAAGCCATTTTGGCGTTTTGCAGGTAGATGAGTAAAAAGAGCTTTCTGAAAATGCTGCTTAAGCCTTTCGACGCGCACGATCAAACGGGGGAAGGTTTCTCTCAGACAGTGCGTGAACAGGCTGCGGAAAATGCCCAAGAAACTGAAGATAAAATGGTATCGGTGCTCAAAAGCAAGCTGCCAGACGATATTAAGATGGATATCTACTCATCGCTTCTAAATTTGTTAACTAGTCTTTCGTCGGAAATACGTAAATTGGACCCTTCTGCTAGCAATGCAAAAGACGATACCAAAGTAACCGACAAAGTCCAGACACCTGCAAAGACGAAACGCGTCTATCAACGACGCAATGCAAAAAAGGTTAATAAGAAAACCTTCGACACGCCAAAAGCCATTCGGTCCAACCCCGATATTTTTGAAAATAACGCTGATATTTCAGAAACGGAGAAATCGTTTGGTTCCCCGCTAGTCGAAAGACGAAAATATAGTTACAAAGAACTTCAAAAGTCTCCCTATCGCATTGCTGATGAAATCAATAAAGCAAAGAAACTTAGATCAAACCAGCAAGGTTCGGGGTCGTTCAAAATATCGTATTACTAACGAGCTGAATCGTCTTTTCACTGATTTAAAATCGCCTATAGCTTTCACCTCTAGAACCAATTTGATAAGGGAGGCGAAAAAACGAGGTATCGATAAGGCGAGCGTAGATGCATATTTACAAACTAAAAGTTCCTACTATCTCCATAAAAGAGTTGCCCATAAACATCCCACTAAAAAATTTACAGGAACTAGTTTAAACAGTCATCACGTAGCCGATTTATGCGATATGCAAAAGCTAAAGAAGGACAACGATAACTATGCTTTTATTCTAGTTGTTGTTGACCTTTTCTCTCGTAAAACCTTTGCAAAGCCGCTCAAAACGAAGCGCACTGAGGAGGTTCGAGATGAATATAGCAAGATTTGCAAAGCTATTGGAAATCCTCCTTACTACCTAACCACCGACAGAGGTCGAGAGTTTACAGGCTATGCAATGAAGGAGTTTTATCGCGAGCACGAGATCACGCATATTTTGACTAATAACGATTCAAAAGCTGCTCCTGCCGAACGAAAAATACGTGTAATAAAGGAAAGACTTTACCGCTATTTTACCGAGCACGACACTGTCAAATGGATTACCGTTCTAGACGCTGTGGTGCAGGGTATCAACAGCTCGCCCACTCAGCCTCTGAACATGCGCGCTCCCAACGAAATTGATCAAAAGACGAGAATCCCCTTGCCGCATTTTGCAAAAATGAAACAGCCGGACCCACTGCTATCGCTAGGCGACTACGTAGTGATAAAGACCGAGAGAGCGGTGTTTAAAAAAGGATATACGGGTGGTTTTTCGAAGGAAATTTTTCAAATTTACAAAGTTAAAAAAGCTTCCAACTTTGAATCCCCGTTATATTATATAAAAGACCTGCAAAGCGAGGAAATTGAAGGTCATTTTTATAAAGAAGAACTTGTCAAAGTTCGCAGACCCAAGCTTTTTGTTGTTTCTCGAGTTGCGCGCCGTAAACGAGTTGGCGGTGTCGAGTTTGGTCTCGTCGAGTACGAAAACTATCCTAAAAATTTTGCGCGTTGGCTGCCTATGGACAGCATAATTTTCCCTAAAGATGGAAGAAAGGTTGCTGCCCCCCTTGAAAAGCCAGTCGACCCAGACGCTTTCCAGCGATAGACGGTATGTGCTGGCCAAAGCCAGAATTCTAATAATTTTTTCGATTGTTTTGGCCTGTCTGATAAACATGACAATAGCGCATATAAAAGGGACTGACCTTAGCGTTTGGCTTAGCGCTACATTGTCGATAGCTTGTCTTTTGGTTCCTTCGCCTTTAAAAAATAAAGTTCCAAGCAATGAGTGAAGATTTTTATGTCACCGTTGTTGGCCCTACAGTAACCCGAACGGGTCGTTTTAATAACCATTTATCTAAGGAAATTTCCTTGTTTGAAGCAACCGGTCGTCAAAGCCAATGGTCTTGTGCTTTGGTGGAATTAGCTACTTCGGCGGTATCTGATCTCGTTTCTGAGGATCAAATCGTTCGCGTTTTTGACAAACAGGGTGGGGAAAAGCATTTTACCCTACCTAGCGGTAATTACTTGAAACCTGCTCGTCTCGCTAACGCTTTGAATTGCGTCTTCCAGAAAAGTGTGCGAAAGAGGAGACAGGTGGGTCCGGAAATGGACGCTTTGCCCTCAAATATTTCGCAAACTAACGACGATAGCGATAAAGCAATACCGTCAAATCTACCATCTCCGCAAGTTGAACCTCCTACGCAGCATCCGACCTCTCAACACGGGGAACATTCTGAATTCTCGGAAGGTTTGCGTGTACCGACCGTTGAGACTACGAATTCGAAGGTTGGCGACGCTTCCGGCACCGGTTCTAATGCCGAGGAAAACGTTTCTACAACAAAAGATGTCGCCGATGCGGCGGGTGTTGCAGCTGAACATATTGCACCAGCGTCTGTGAAAGAAGATGGCGATCAAGCCTCACTCGATGTTCAGACACCATCTTTCAACCAGGACGCAATCCGTTCGAACGTAAAAGATATCCTACCCTCGGACGATAACGCATCTGCCGCTGCTACGAATACGGAAGGGTTTTTTGTTAACGACGGCTCTGCGATACAACCAAATGAACCGTTTTCTTCTAGCAACCCTGTCGAAACGTCTCAGGAAGCGAAAGATAAGTTTCCATCTGACCAAGAGGAGGAAACGGGTGTCTTGATCGTCGATCAGACCGACATAGAAAAGGAAGATGGCTCTGGCGACGCCTCTACTTTACCTGAAAAGGAGCTTGAAGAGGGGAAAGCTGGAGATCTTTCCAATGCAGAGGTGTTGGAGATAAAACCTCCGGAAGATACCTTGGATAGCACCCTCGATAGCAACGCTGAATATTTGTCTGACGACGATGAAGACGTTCTGACTGACATTGTCGAACCTGCCAAGCCTTCGAGAGCTGAAGAATCGTTGGTCATTCAGCAACCCTATTCATTTGAAGTAGTTGAGGAAGAGCTGGATCTGAGTGAAACTGAAGTTGCCAGCTCGGACCAATTTCTAGGAGGTTACCGAGAGAAATCGCCTGATCCCGAAAAGAATCTACGGTCACAGCAGCTTTTGGAGGCTGCTACAACGGTTACAAGCAATGATGTCAGTGAGAACGTTATAGAAAAGGTGCCGCCCAATACCTTTCAAAACTTCAACGATAGCTTCTCTTTCGAGCTTAAAAACAAGGCGTTGGACGCGGCAGGTATTTGTTTCGACTATGACGAAAACAAGCGACGTTTCACGTTTGAAATTGACAAGGGGAGGGTTGAGAAGGTTGTTTTATCAGATTTGCTTTGGAAGATGACGGGATTTGAAAGGGAAATTCTCGAAAACCTCCAGACTGCAACCTACCTTCCGGATTTGCTGACGAACAACCGCCTGACTCACGTCCTCTGCAATTTGGTAGAGCCGCAAATGGTCGGAAACGAATATATGGAGCTGCTACGCAGTTTTCCAAATGACGTACCACCCGGCGAGTCTTTTACGAAAAGTTTCAACCCTTTGACTTACCATAACGTTAAGCAAGGTCATTTCAACAGTGTGCAGTTACGCATCGTTGATGCTCAGGGTCGTGAGATACCTCTGAACCAAAGCAAGACAGTTGCGCTGCTACACTTTAAAAGGGTTTACTAACTCGTGTTTTTTTCATTCGTATACGTTTGTTTCTTTCGAATGGCGTTCCTTGGTTATGCAAGTCTGAACCCTGTCGATATTGGATGGGGCTTTAGTGAGGTCAAAAATTTTAAACCTGGTAAAATTCAAAAGGGTAGCGGTTCATTGCCCCCTTTTCGTAATGCAAAGTTTCTGTTCCCGGTTTCTAAATCGCTACCGGTAGCAGGCAAACCCGCCGTAAGTGACCAACCGCTTTTCCCCGATAGTATCGAAGAGCCTGAGAACCCCAAAGCCCCTCTAGGGCCTTCGTTACCTTTGAAAACTGTTAAAACGCCCGCTACGCCAAAAGGCAGAAAAGGCGGAAAACAGAAAAAACCTGCACCAAAAGTTCCGAGCAGTTTGAAAACGCAACTATATGGCGAGGGCTCTATAAAAAGAGGTCGCAAGCGTTCTAAACTCATTCTGACTGCCGCACCACCGGTTTCCAGAAAATGACTTCGATTAAAACTTTAGAAGCTAATCCAGAGCTGTCTTTTTCCAGCGAACTAGGTTTGTTTGAACCTATTCAACATGTTGTGGGCGTTCAAACGATGCGTTTTCGCAGCATTGCGCCTGAGAACAGCACTTTGAACCAAACGGGCCCCTACACCTTTCGCATCATGAAAGAACCACATTTTATCTCTTTTGCCCGTTCCTATGTGACAATGACGCTGCGACTCGTTAACAGTAAAGGTATTGGCTACAAACATTCGCAAATAACAAAAGACGGTGACGCTACGAAAATTGAGTTTTTGGAACGTTGCGCCCCTATCCAGTATGCCGCACGTGCTTTCTGGAAGCAAATCACCGTAAATATCGGTGGCACGCAAGTGGAAAATACGGGGGATCTTTACCCCTATCGAGCTTTTCTAAATGCCGAATTCATGACTGATAAGAATGTTAAGCAATACAACCACGGTCATGCTCAACTCTATGACGCCAACGAATCAGGTAGCGAACTCGTCACTAACGACGGATTCGAGAACCTTAGTGTTCTTTTCCGGGAGGGTAAAGCCGTGCAGGTGAACTCCCCTTTGGACCTTAACCTGGCTTCCTCCAATCGTCTGATGCTCAACAACGCAGATATTCAAATCACTCTGCATCGTCAAAATGATAAGTTTTTGATCAGGGGATACGGATCCGAAGATGAAACCTGGCATCTGCACGTTGACGATATTCGACTTGTGCTGGCTGAATACCAGTTGTATCCCTCAGCTGTTGCGGCCATTGAGCGCCAACTTGCATCTGGTAAAAAGGCCAGCTATCCGATGCGTAGCTATCAAACAAGGAGTTTCTTTATGCCCGAAGGCGTTTACAAACTGCCTGAGATGCAGTTGTTTAATTCGAATCAGATACCTCGTCGGATTTTCATTGGCCTTGTCAAAAACGACGCTTTTGTCGGCACGTATAAAACGGATCCTTGGCGTTTTAACCATAATTCTATCAAAAACGTCAACGTTCATTTTGCAGGCAACACGGTGCCTCATAGAGCGTGGGATCTGCACTGGGATCAAGGAGGGATGGGAGCTACTGAAGCCTACACGCAGATGCAGGAGGGTACCGGGATGTCCGGTAGTAACTTGACCAACGGCATCGGTCATATGACGTTCGGTGACTCACGCTGCGTTCACGTTTTTGAGTTGCTACCGGACGCTGACGGTGGTATCGACAGTTTTGACGTTGCTGTTTCTGGTCAGTGTTCTCTCGACTTGGAACTTGCCAAAGCTGTCCCTAAGGGCGGCCTTATGTGCATAGTGCACGCCGAGTTTATGGACAAGCTGACTTTGGATATAACTAGACAGGCTCAGACGTTAACTATTTAAATATGAATACTGCTCAAATTGATTCTATTCTTTTCAAGCACCCTGTAACTCGGAAAAATTTCCTAGGCACTTTCCCTTGCGATCAGTTACCTGACGCCCCGGGTGTTCTTGTTATTAATAAAAGCACTTCGCTGTCCCCCGGTACGCACTGGGTTGCGTGCTATGGTATGGGCTGTACGGGTTATTATTTCGACTCCTTGGGTGGTCCGCCTAGCGGGCTTATCTTGAAATGGTTAAAAACCCGTTTCTCGAGGGTTGTTTTCAACGATATTCCGCATCAGCGGAATGATAGCAAGACGTGCGGTGCTTTTGCGGTCGTCTTCATACATCAAATGAGTCTCGGGATTCCCTTCTACGATTTTACAAAGTTTTTCAATAGCATCAAAGACGATGACCGTTTCGTTATTCGCTATTTGAGAAAACATTTCGGTTATGAGTTGCCTATGAGCTTCGCCGGCGGATCGCAGGGTATAAAAGACCTGCTCTAGGACCCATAGTCATTCAGTTTTCATTTTTTTTTCAAATTTTACTATGGATCCTACTGTAACTTACCGTCGAGACCCCCCTGCTATCAATTTTAAAAACGATCCGGTTGAAGAGGGCTCTCTGCCGCAAACTTTTGCTGGGAAAACGTCTTTCCAGTGTTTCCAGTGTCAGAAAACATTTTCAAATAATTCCAACCTGACGCGCCATATCCTGCGCAGCTGCCGTTCCAGTCCGGAAGAGGGAAAATTGGTAATCGACGAAAGCGTAGCTGAAGAAACGACCGTTCCACCTCCGTCCTCAGCCTTCAAGAAGCCGCCTACGCCAAGCCAGCCTTCGACTGCAGAAAAACAAAGTGCTTTGCCCCAAACTCCTCGCAATTTTGGTAGACGTCTTTGTGAGTTGGTGTTTTTTCATGACCCTTCTACTAACTGTTTCACCACATCTTTCACTCCTCTTTTTTAAAACTGCTTTGGTACCTGTTATTGAAAATTTTTTAAAATATTTTATTTGTTAATATGTATTATCGTAAAATAAATTGATTAAGTTTGCTTGGTCTTTTCCCAAAAATGCACAATACGAATGCATGTTAAACAGTTTTTGGAGCTACAACAGGGTATAAAAGGTCCACAGTAGACGACTCTGTGCTATACGTTATGTAGACGTGATATTGATTCTCAGGTAGGGGGAAACTAGAGACTTCGTAGGTTTTCTTACATAGGCGAAAACCTTGTTGTGCTATATAACGATCGAAACGATCGAACACTGCTATGATGTCGATCATTCTTTCGGCCGTGTTTATATACGAGGGGATTTTCCAAAACACAGGGATTCGCTTCTTTACGAGAGTGGCCGAATTCAAAAAGAGAAACAGGGGGCTTAAAGGGCTTTCTAGTCCTATTGCAATAAATTGATTAAAATTTCGCTTATACGAGCTCAGAAAGCAGGTCAGGCTATTTAAAATATCAACATTCGTTTCTCTAATTCTTAGCAGAAGGCTGTTTGAAACGATACGATCTAGGTCATTGACCAGCGATTTCAAACCTTTCTGTATTGTAGAGCGATTGTGCGCGTATTCGCCCATGTTGGCTCTTGTGAAGAAGGTTTTTGCGTGGGGGCCCGCCATCACGCTAGCAAATATTTTGCGAGGTCGCCGGTCGTCGAACTCAATTATAGCCTTGAGCTCATTCTCTCCCACAGCACGACCTAGATAAGGTTCTAACTTGTTGTCGTTTGTTAGAAGCTCACTCACCGAACATGTATAGAATCGCTCCGTCGTTCTGAACTGCCTCGTCAACTACACCAAAATTCAATTCCTCTACAGCTCCCATCTCTAAAATTTATTTTCAAAAAGAAATCTATAGAAAAAACTCGCGGGTGAAAGCCTGGAAGATACGTTTACAAACTGCTATAGATTAAAAACTTTGAACGAACGCTCTAAAAAACGAATAAGCGAAAAAATTTTAGTTAAAAACAGGCATCGTTATGAAAGAAGGTCGTCTTGCTAACAGTTAATAATACGAAAAATTGTTGATTGCGTACGTCTTGTACTTGCACAGCCTACACTGCCATATAATCATGGCTCGATTTGGGTACGGATTTTCTAATTCCTTAGTCTTTGTGCGACAAAAGTGGCAGAGCCGGAATATGAGATTTTCAGGACGATTATACTGTTTGGGCAGGTTGTTAGATGAATCTCGGTCGTCGTTTTGTCTTTCTTTCTTTTTCTCTCCCTCATATGGGTGGTAGTCGCTCTTATAAGGTTTGCTCCAACCTTTATATTTCCTACTCTCCGGATCGGTATTCTTACCGGTTTCATTGTAACAAGGACTTTTCTTAAATTTTTGAGGGTGAGGGTGATCAGACCCATCGCTCTCAATATTATCCTCCGAAAAAACCATGAAAATCGAATAGCTTGAAAAAAAAGAATAAAAATCACTGGCTGTGCTTTTCGACGGGCCTTTATATAGGGGAAACTCTTCTTTCCTTCTTTTGCTTTTTCCTTTCTCTCCCCTCGGCTTGTCTCATAGCAGGCCTAGTGCTGCATTTTGGGCATAAGTTGCCGTTTTGGGCAATTCTGCGTTAGATGTCGCTGTCGCTGGAGCGGTCAAACAAATCGGTATTCACGCCCAGACTCTGACTCTCTGTCGTTTAGTGCAAAACGAGGCGCGTGGTGGCTTTTTTTCGGCAAATAGGTCGTCGCGGTGGGAAAACGCCCCCTTTCGCTGAGGCTCTCTCGCTGCCCGTACTGCCCTTTCGGGCTTTGCCCGGCCCCGGAGCGTCAATTTTGGCCAGAGTTTGCAATACAGCCCGATTCGGGGGGGGGGGGGTCTGGTTGTGGAAGCCTCGGGGGGAACGGGTATAAAAAGTCTGAGGGGGGTTTTTTTATATAGCTCAGTCTTCGAAATGAGTCTTCCAGACATTGATCCAACCGACGCGGAAAGCCTAAACCTGAATCCGCCGATCCAATCTACGAATGATTTTATATTCGAAACTACGCCTCCTAACGATCAACCTTACAAGGGGGCCTATTTTGGGCTCAAACCAACAACTGTTCGGCTCACTGATCTAGTATATTACTATATGGAATTTGTGCTCGGCAGCCTCGGAAGTTATGGATACCGCAGCATCGGTCACGACGTCTACACTGCCGAAGAGCAGGCTTCATTTGGTGAGTTCTTGCAGGACTTGCCCTGTTTTCTCGAGACCCGACGGTCCGACGGATCATTGATTTTCCACCCCCTTTCAAACCCCACACTTCTAGTCACTCCTGGCCGTATTACGATTTCCCATCATCATTTTCAATACGATTTGTGTTACCTTTTGAAAATTTTTTGGAATTTGAGCTGGACAAAGACCCATGATAACGATTATTTTGTGTACGGGGAACTAAGAACCCATCCAATACCTCTTGCTGTCCCTATCCCTATAGAATACGTCCTTGTAACCGTTTCAAGCGAGATGTACAAATCTATGGTCCAGTGTATGCCCTATCTCAGTCTGTAACGTTCTTTTAACCTTCTTCTCTTGAACCTCTCGGTTTTTCTCGTTTTCGATGTAATGCGCGAACCCACCTACCGCCTTTTTTCCTTTTTTTTTTTTTTTTGAATGTAATGTGCGAGATAAATTATCGAATCGTGACCAAATACATTTGATGGTTGAAACGCACCGATGGATGCAAATAGATCGTGAGAGGGCGTGGCTATTGAAAGCGGGATGCACGGGGAGGCAGAAAGCGCCATTTGTGGCCAAACGCCGTTCCTGGGCGCTGGGCGAGAGAGAGCATGAGAGGGATTGGAAATGCACTTTTTGGGCGCGGGGAGGCAAAAAACGCCATTTGTGGCCAAACGCCGTTCCTGGGCGCTGGACGAGAGAGAGAGAGGCGACTGTGCCTTTCGAGGCGCGGGGAGGCAAAAGCGCCTATGTAGGCCAAACGCGGTTCCTGCAAGTAGTGAAAATGCGTTTGCTCGATGTGAACGTCGTTGGCGGTCCGGGGAAACCCCTTTCCTGTGTGAAAAGTGCACATGCACTGTGAAACATTTTGTGGAATTTATGTCACTGACATTTTTTCTATTTTCAGTAGATGACATAAAATAGGATAGTATTGTAGTAACTATAATAATTTTCTTGACGCGTCTGTCCGTCCGTCCGTCCGTCCGTCTGTGTGAAGCCGAATTCAACTCGAAGGGGAAAGGAGCTAGAGCTTAGCTCTCTTCGGATTCGGATAGAGCGTGGTCAGAAACCCCCAAACTGATAAAAAAATCACGAAAAACTTTTAGTTTAAATTATTAAAATTAACTTTGAAAGTTTTTTCCTTAGTAAAAGGGGTGAGGGATGGAAGTTGGGGTGGTTTTGGACATAGTGAGCCAGGTCACGCGCGTTTCGTGGATGAAAATTTTCACGGGGGATTTCATTTCTTTTTTTTCACTCATTCCATCCGGTCGGTCGTTATTTTTGTTTTTTCTTCAAATTTCGGCTAGGGGAGGTACCTTAAACCATCGGGAAAGTATTTAGGTAGTTTTTGAAGGGGATTTCAGCCATGGGGGGTATCTGAAGCCATCAGGAAGGTATTTAGGTAGTTTTTGAAGGGGATTTCAGCCATGGGGGGTATCTGAAGCCATCGGGAAGGTATTTAGGTAGTTTTTGAACGGGATTTCGGCTATGGGGAGTATTGATGGAGGTGGGAAAGGATGTGGTGGAGTGAGACATGTAGGGTAGCCCGAAGGCCAGATGGTTGCAGTCGCGAAGCGACTGTAACCATCTGGTTATTTTACAGTTTTTCGCAGGGAAATCATTTTTCTGGCACTTCTTGGCAGTGACCCTTTCGTTTTTCGACCAGTGGGTTCAATCCCCGCACCCACGAATTTTCGCTTCCGAGCCCCTTTAAAGAGGCTGGCAAGGCAAGATTATAATATATTTTGTAGCATCGCTTTTTTGCCATAATTCCGAATGATAGTCTTAAATGGGCTATCGATTTCTGGCGAGGGTGTCAATTTCACTCAATTTCAGGCCGGGGCACTTTCCGGGGTTGAGGGTGTAGCCCAAGCACAAAGATGAGAGATGATATGGCCTCAGGCTACACCTCTCGACACGGGACAACTGTTCTATCTCTCGCTCTCTCTCTTTCTCTCTCGCTCTCTCTCTCTCTTTTTCTCTCTCTCTCTCTCTCTCTCTCTCTCTCTCTTGCTCTTTCACTCTCGCTCTCTCTCCCTCTCTCTCTCTCTGGCCCGGAAATACCCGAAAAATCGCCCGGGCCGGGTCGAGAAAAACGAATTAATTGGCCGGGGCCCTTCAGCGCCTGTTACACCACTCGTTGTCCAGATTTTTTGCAGGCCCAGCAAGATAAACAGTATTTTTACTTTTTCTTTCTATTCGGAGACTTTAGACGGTACTTTAAATCAGATACCCTAGCCATTCGCCGATTAAAAAATGAGTTTCAGAAAATGTCAAAAAATACTAACATTTATTTTGGTTAGTAATGTGTTCGTCGCCTAACCTCGATCTGCCCAAATGGATTTCCCATGGGTTTTTAATATTATTTAAATACTTTATCGGTGTTTTTGTAACGTTTGCAATTTTTCGTTTAAAAACGAGTTTCAAAAAAGTTCAAATCTCTGGGATTTTCGAGATTGCAATCGACAGGAAACTCTCTTCATCCCGCGTTTTATCAACTTTCCCGCGGCAGCATGAACTGATAAATATTTTTCAAGAAAAGAGTTTCAAGAAAATATAGAAACAATGGGCATAGACGAAATTTGGAAATTTTGGAGGGATCGACTCGGACTCCCGGGGTAAATTGTGTGAATAAACACGACCTTCCCGCAATGTCACTGCTAGCCTGCCTTGGAGACACGATACGACACATTTTAAACAATTAAAGTATCGTAACTGAGTTCCTTTCCGTGTTCTCCAAGCGTCTCTGCAAGCTGCCGCACCCAATCATCAAATTTTTGGGCAAAAATTCGTGTTTCAAAAAAATTAAAAGATGGCTACGCGGAAATTCTTTAATGGACGGCCATTCTAGAAGTGGGGTAAATCATAAACTCATAATGCCGAATTACATAAGTCCGTTTTTTATAATGTCGATTTACATAAGTCCGATTTTCAGATGACCAATTTTAGTTATTTTATCTGGATAAAAAAGCCAATTCAAGTTTTGTTTCTTGATCATTTTTGCCTAGGTTTTTCGTAAACCTTCCAAAGTATAGTATTAAATTACTAGTTAATCTTTAAACACAAAAACAGAAAACGAAGATACAAAAACGCAGAAACACATAAAAAGATCATACGTTCCTTTCAACTCTTCATCTAAAACTATTCATCTAAAATTATCGTCTGTTCTCGAAGGCTTTTTATTATTTTTGCCGTTTTCCGTTATGCAAAAATCAATCAAAAAGTACGGAAATCGCTATTACAATTGATTGTTGAAAGTCTAGGCTTTTGAAAAATAATATTAGGGTTATACGTAGCATTTTCTGTCCCAGGAAGCAAGCATTTTTTTAGGCTTTTGTGTTTCAACGGATTTCAAAGATCCCTGAATTGAGCCTTACGCAATAAACCATCTGGCCCATCCCATCCGATTTTCCCCAGCTAGGCTGCCATTCAAAACATTCGTCGTCGTCCTATTCCTCAATTGTCTCTGCTACCTGCCCGCGTGCAGGCCAAAAAAATAAAATACAATGTTTCCTGAGATGTAATATTGCCAATAAGCAAATGATTGTAGTGGATATGTTAATCGATGCAACTTCTTTTCTTTTTTTCAAAAGTCTCTGCTAGTTGTTCCAGTCAACAAAACAGGATTTGCTAAAAATATGTTTAAGGGGAATGGAAGGACCACCAAGTTGAAAGTGCTATAATATTGCCTCATGCCGTGCAGCGCCACTTTTTAATTAGATTCGAAAAAAGTAAGCAGCAATGAATTAGGCTTGAATTCCAAAAGTCTTTCTCCCCTTTCTCTCTCTCGCTCTCTCTCTCTCTCCTTCTCTTTCTCTCCCTCTCCTTCTCTTTCTCTCTATCGCTCTCTCACTCTCTCTGTCACTCTCTCTCTCTCTCTCCCCCACTCTCTCTTTCGCTCTCGGTTCTCTCTCTCCCGCTCTCTCTCAATCTCGCTCACTCTCTCACTCTCGCTCTCACTCTCTCGCGCGCGCGCTCTCTCTCTCTCTCTCTCTCTCTCTCTCTCTCCTCCAATAATCTCTGCTAGCCTGCCCGGTCCCCCAATGCTGTGGTGGCAACGACATTGCCGGACAGCTGGCCCGCATTTTCCGTGTTTTCTGGTCACCCTCAACCCTTTATTGCCCCTTTAAACCCCCTTAAAAATTCCTCAACGTTCTCTGCCACCCAACCTGCCCGCCCCGCCATTTTTTCTGGACTGTTTTTGTGGGGGTATTTTGACGGGTGTAACCCGAAACGGAACCCGGATTTCCCGGCTCTCGGTTACCAAAAATTCGCGAAAATTCGCCGGCGGTGGCTAGATATTTTGCTGACACTTCGATTTTCTCTAAAATTCGTGAAAATGATACTGCGTGGCTTGCCGGTATCCGTGCAGAAATATGTGAGTTTCATTGAATATACTCATTAATTAAATTACTTTTTTATCAATATTCGACCATTCGGTAAATCTCATGAAAAGAAACTGTTCTTTTTGAAAAAGTTTAAAACTTACATTTTTAAATTTAAACGGTGGGTATAAATCCTCAGATTAAAGTAATTAATGTGTAGTTCGATTCCAAAAACACCTGTAGGAGAAAACTGTGATTATATATTTCTGTAAATGGACTGATTTGATTTTTTCTGTGTCCCTGCCAAATGCCGCCAAAACGAAAGCGAATTTCGCGAAAATCAAATCTCTCCTGCCGCTGTGGCCGCTGGCAATTCAGAAATATAAGGCCCCTCCCAAAGGGGCTTATATTTGGCACTTCCCCGCCCCTTTAATTACAACCCATTATGCCAAGATGCGCGACTTTGTCGACGCAAAAATAGCGTGTTTCAAAGTATATACCTTAGTGACATTGGCTCAAATATTCAATCGACGACCGCCGTTTCAATCCGTTTTATGTTCCTGGTTTTTGTCGCCGCGGTAAACTTGATGTATTTAGATGTTCTGGAATCTGGTGACGGTCAGCTATGAAAAATACAATTTGCACCACTACCTCTATTTTGTCATGTTGCTGCTGTACAGTATTTTCGGGGGGCTGATGTTTTGCTGGATCGAGGGTGGGTTTGATTGTCAATTAGATTTAATTAAATTACTGTATTTCTAGTTTAATTAATTTTAATTTTGATTAAATTACAGTATCTTTATGCAAATAAAGTTTGTTAAAACGCTGATCGAAACAGGCTTCCTAATTAAACATTAGAAAATTATAAAAAGTTATTAATAAATATTATTATATTATGATAATAATTACAATTATTACTATTAAATAAAATTAATACGGTTTACAACACTAATGTAGCAAATGGAAAAAACCGTTTTTTTTGCGTGAATTTTGATGGTTATTAACCATAATAAATGCGTCAAAAATTACTAATTAATATGAAACATCTTAATAACTTTTTTAGGATCACAAGAAGCTACTCTACTAGAGCAGAAAAATGCCGAATTAATTCGCACCAGTCTGCATGCAAAACGCAATTTTGTCGATGCGGTTCAGGTATAAAATTTGATTAAAGAAAGAATTAAGATGTTTAAAATTATTAACATTAAAACAAAATAAAAGTGCTGAAAAATTAAAAAATCCATTACTACTAGTATCGTTGCTTTTACCCCCCCTTCAAAAAACACATGCCACCAAGTCAATTTCTGTTTTACATGCCATATTTCTTATACTACCGCAAAACGTGTTTGTACGCGTCAAAACAGGCGGTGGCGACAGCTGACACCCGGCAGCCGTTTTCGAACGTGGGGCTTTTGGGCCCCAACTGGGAAAGGGACCCCCAACGTAGGGAAAGGGGGGGTTTTGGGCCCCAACTGGGAAAGGGACCCCCAACGTAGGGAAAGGGGGGGTTTGGGCCCCAACTGGGAAGGGACCCCCAACCGGGAAAGGACCCAAAGTAGGGAAAGGGTTTTTCGAACCCCCGAAAGGTAGGGGAAGGGGGCTTTTGGGCCCCAACTGGGTAAGGACCCCCAGCGTAGGGAAAGGGAGGTTTTGTGACCCAACGAAGGGAAGGGTTTTTCGGGTCAGTTGCGAAAACCAACAGCCGACCGCAGGAGGCATAAATAGCGAGACTTCCCTTTCAACGTAAGAAATATGGAAAGTAAACCTTTCAAATTCCAACATCCTTGTTCTATTTTTGTGTTTTGTCAATCCTTGGGCGGCAAGACAACATGGACAATGAAATTTCTCGAATATTTAGAAGAAATTCTAGACGGTCACGAAGTAATCCAGGACATTTACTACTTTACCGGGTCAAAACATGAAATTGAAGAAAAATATCCAGCAACGCCTTCCAGTTTTCATATATTTGAGGGTCCACCAAGCGACCAGCAAATCGAAAGCTTGAAAAATGCCATCGTAATCCTTGACGATTTGATGCTTGACATGAAAGAAAGCGTGATGGCGGCTTTGACTTCGCGATTTACTCACCACCAAAACTGTACACTAATTTTCCTAAGTCAAGACGCATTTCGGACCCGGCGTACCGCCCGCATCAATGCAAACTACATTGTCCTTTTAAGATCTGTATCAGACCTACTACAAGCTCGCCAAGTGGGTCTACAGTGCTTTCCTAACCAATTTCCTTATTTCTGGGACAGTTACCTCGATGCAACTGCAAAACCTTATCAATATCTCGTAATCAATTGTCATCCAAATTTGGAAAATCGAAACGAACGTCTCGTTACAGACATTTTTCCAGATAAAAGGCAAATTTTTTACCTACCCAGGTAGTCATTTTCGAAAATGCAAAGTCGTCCACACAACCTGCAAATTTTTCACAAAATTGACAAAGCTTCAAACCCAAAAGTGGTGATTCGAAAAGCAACCGACAAAGAAATACAAACCCTTGTCGAATTTATTTACAACCTAACCATAGGTACCGTACCTCTCTATAAATACGAGAAATCAAGCCTTCTACCACATTTGGCTACTTTGCAAACCTTGAGTAAGCTACGCGATTTTACAAAGGCGCGGCAAACACTTTTGCTTCACGAAAAACTACTAAAAGTTATTACGAAACCCGCATTGGCATTTGAGAATGACAGCTTCGAGAAAAAGTTTCGAAAAGATGGTCCTTGTACCATACGACCAGCAGCAAGGTGAAGGTTATGCTCATACACCTCGTGAGAAAATTGTTGAGCAAGCCAAAGAAACTGAACAACAAATGGCAAACGTACTACAAAGTGCACTTCCCGATGATATGAAAATGCAAATGTATACCAAGTTTCTCAATTTCTTGACACAACTTGTCCAAGAAATTCGCAAGTTTGACCCCTTACCTACACAAATTCTGAAAACGACGACAGTCGAAACCACCAGAGATCAGACGGCCACGCAAAATACACAAAATAAAGCGAAGGGCTCTGCGAAAAGGGCACCGCGAAAGGTTTTGCAACAAAATCCATATGAAAAAAGCTATAAACTTTTGGCAAAGCACGTCAAGACGGATAATAAGAATAGAGTCTTGGATACGCGAGGTGAAACTATTGAAGGTAGCAACCTGTTTGAAATTGCAAGGGCGGCAGCCAGTGAAACCAAACGACCATTTCCCGTAGGTTACGAAGACGCCTATCACCAAGTGCAAGCAAAAACTCCACGGCTTGTGAAACAATTGAACGAACCTGTGTTTACACCACGTACAATTCAAAGCATACAAAAGGAAATTTTTCCATCTAGCCAGACCACAATTAGTCCACCCCTGGCGACTGACGAAAAAGTTTCAAACGGTGACTTGGTCAAGCGCGTTAGACAACTTCAGCGGGAGATCCTAGAAAAGCGCAAATTGAAGTCCGAAGCCTGGGATAGCGATGACGAAGACCAAACCGGTAGCGGTACCAAAAAAAGGTTCAAAGTCGCAAAGTATCACTAAAATACTTGATCTTCTATATACTGACCCGGAGTCGAATATTGCTTTTACGTCAAGAAATAATCTTGTGGCAGAAGCTAAAAAATATAGCATCACAAAGCGACAAGTTGACACATATCTGCAAACTAAAAATTCTTACATTCTACATAGACGAGTTCTACACAAGTTTCCCAGAAAAAAGTTTATTGGAACTAGCATGAACAGTCACCATGTCGCAGATCTTGCCGACTTTCAGAAAATTAAGCAATACAATGACGGGCAACGCTATATTTTGGTAGTTGTAGACTTGTTTTCGCGAAAAACCTACGCCAAACCTCTACTGAACAAGAAACCCCAAAGTGTGAAACGACGTTTTGAGCAAATTTACAAGGAAATTGGTGATCCGCCACACTATTTGACGACTGATCAAGGGCTTGAATTTACCGGTGGACCAATGAGGCGCTACCTCAAAAACAACGAAATTCGTCACATTTTAACAAAGGGAACCGCTAAGGCAGCACCAGCTGAACGTAAAATTCGTGATCTAAAGTCGCGCATCTACAAATATTTCACAGAAAACAACACTTACAATTGGGTTGAAGTGCTACCGAAAATTGTTGAGGGTCTGAACAATACGCCAACAGAACCCTTAAAAGGGTTGACACCAAACGAAATGAAACGCGACACAATCATACAACCAGACGATACGCCTAAATTGCGAAAACCGGACCCACCGCTAGCACTAAACGACTATGTCTTGCTAAAAAAACGCCAAGTGGTGTTTCGAAAAGCTTACAAAGGCACGTTTTCTGGCGAAGTGTTCCAAATTAAACGCATAGTCAAACCTGCAAATTTCTCTGCACCAGTCTTTTATCTAAAGACATTGCAGGGGGTTTCCCTTCGACAAGTATTCTACAAGGAGGAACTGCAAAAAGTGCGACAACCAAAAATGTACCGAGTGGAAAAAGTTTTGGGTACAAAGGTCATAAGTAAGCAACCTCACAGCCTTGTCGAATACCACAAAAAACCTGGTGTATTTAATGGGTGGGTACCCGACAAAAGCCTCATTTACACGGACAAACTTTGATAATGGAAGAATTGCTTTCAAACCGTTCATCGACCACCTCGCAGTACCGCAATAACATTCACATGGCATGGGCTAGAATTGTCATCATTTTTCTCATTGCTATAGCATGTCTCGCCAACATGACAATTGCCCATATAAAGGGCAACGATGTGACAGTGTGGCTAAGTGCTACCCTTTCTGTTGCTTGTCTTTTGGTACCCTCTCCTTTGAAAAGCAAAGCTATCAAAGGAAATGAGTGAAGACTTTTACGTAACACTCGTAGGTCCAGGGCGTCGTGAAGGAAAAGGTTCCAGTTTTGTCACACACCTCGCGAAAGAAATCAACCTCTATCAAACGAATGGTCAGCAAGGTTATTGGACTTGCGCCCTTGTCGACTTTGCAGCCTCAATGTCATGGGACCAAGTCCCTGAACCGCAAAAATTTAGACTGTGGTCCAAAGACGCCAAAGAAACACACCTTTGGCTAGCACAAGGCACTTACTCAACCCCTGCTCGACTAATCAACGCTCTAAATGCCATTTTTGCCAAAACTCTAAAAAGAAAACGCGAAGCCCCTTTATTGACTGAAAATGTGCAAACTGCAAAACCTTTCCCGAAAGTAGTCCCACTCGGTGCACCAAGTGCAGAAGCCGAAAAACCAGCTACGCCACCACCTGCTCCACCCCAAGCCCCTGCCACGCTACCACCCCAAGCTCCTGCACCGCCACCAATACCTCCCACACCACCACCAAAACCTCCCACACCACCATCACCACCAAAACCTCCCACACCACCACCCCAACTCGCTGCTACGCTAGCACAAACAGCTCAAACAGAAAAACCAGTCACAACACCTCCAATAACGCCTGCAAAAACAGTTGCAGCAACGCCGAAACCAGCGCAACCTCAAGCACAACCCACAAACGTTGCAAACAATCGCCCACTTCCGAAACTTATCCCGCCTAGTGCCCCTCTAGCTGTTTCTGAAAAGCCTCCCAAACAAGCAGCCGTTTTCAAAACACCTCCAGAAGAGGTCGACGACACTTTTTCGACAAGTCTTTTTGAGAAGGCCCTCGAAAATCGAGGCGTGGCTTTCAAATTTGATGCAAATCGGTGCCGTGCCTGGGTGGAAGTTGATCCCACAAAGGTGGACAAACTATTTCTTCCCAAGCTATTGTGGCAAATACTAGGCTTCGAGTACAGCACAATCAAAGACAGTCGAGGCGCAAAATACATGCTCGACCTAAAGGCAAACTGTCACAACTTGTCAATTTGTTGCAACGTGGTCGAACCGCAATTGGTGGGTGATGCTTTTCAAGACTTGCTACGCACCATCCCTGTTGATATGAGCTGGGGCGAGACGTTTAGCAAAACATTCAACCCGCCAGTTTACCGCCCAGTACGCCAAGGCTCCTTCAAAGATATTAGCTTGCGTATCGCTGACGAAAACAACCGCGAAATTGACTTTAACTACGGCAACTGCGTGGCCACGCTGCACTTTAAAAGGGTCTACTAGCTGCAAAAGTTCATTCTTTACATTGCCTTCACACTTTACCTTCCTAACGTACGGTATGGAGTATTTTCGCTTGCCTGCAGACGTTGCCTTGCTACCAGACGTGGCTTTACTACCCAACAACGGACAACAGCTGGGTTTTGGACGTAAAACGTCCAAAAAGTACGTCCGCTTAAACCCAAAAGTAGGGTCCCCCCAAAAAGTAGGACCCCAACCCCTTTTAAGAGGGTTACTTCCACCCGTCGTAGGGTTCCCCTACGTCGAGGGGGAAGTAGGGTTTCCCCTACCCTACGTAGGACCCGAAAAGGGGACCCCTTCTAAAGGGGTCGGGGTGGAGGGGAAGGCCGGACCCTCAACAAAACGGGTCCGGAAGGTGAAAAACCTTCCAGACGACCCGACTTCTCTGCCCCCTCTGCGTCTCTTGGGTGAGGGAACCAAAGCAGTTGTCAAAAAAGGTACAAAAAGCAACCGCAAACGAAGTCACTTCATTCTAACAACTGTACCACCGAAACGCAATGGAAGACCCCAAGACGCTTGAAGCCAACCCCGAATTTCTAGTTTCAAGCGAGTTGTCGCTTTTTGAACCCTTGCAACATGTTGTTGGTGTTCAGTCTATGCGATATCGCAGTATTGCCCCAGAAAATGGCATTTCACAAACAGGACCCATTTCTTTTCGTATCATGAAAGAACCCCACTACGTTTCCCTTGCCAAAAGCTACGTTACCATGACGTTGAGTCTTGTCGACAGCGAAGGTAAGGGGTACGCAAACTTTGAAAAAATTACAAATCCGGACAAGACATTCAAAATTGAACCCAAGGAAAAGTGCGCCCCTATTCAGCTAGCCGCAAAGGCATTCTGGAAGCAAATTACTGTCAACATTAATGGAACCCAAGTGGAGAACACGGGCGACTTGTACCCGTATCGAGCGTTTATCAACACCGAATTTATGTCGGACCTCCAGGCAAAAAAATTCAACGTTGGCATCCCTCAATGCTATAGTATTCTGGAAGCGGGCACTGAATTTTCAACAAACGACGGTTTCGAGGATCTATCGTTGGTGTTTATGAAAGGTCGTCAAGTACGCGTCAACAGCCCGCTAGACTTGAATATTGCCACCTCCAACAAGTTGATGCTGAACAATACCGACATTCAAATTACGCTGCATCGACAGTCTGACGACTTTTTGATTCGCAACTTTGGATCGACAAAGACTGACTGGAAGTTCAAGATTCACGACATTCGCTTGGTGTTGGCGGAATATCAGTTGTACCCATCTGCGAGTGCATCCATTGAGAGAGCCCTGCTGAGTGGTCAAAAAGCCAGTTATCCCATGCGTAGCTACCAGACAAAGGGTTTCTACTTGCCTGAAAATCAGCTAAAGGTGCCCGAGATGCAACTATTCAATTCCAACCAGGTGCCTCGAAGGTTGTTTGTGGGACTGGTAAAGAACAGCGCATTCGTCGGTTCACAGGACACTGACCCATGGCGGTTCAATAACTTTGACTTGAAGAACATTCAAGTGCGTTTTGCAGGGCAAACGGTACCCACAAAAGCATGGAACCTCGACTGGGACAGGGAACACGGTGTTGGTTGGACCGAAAGTTACACGGCAATGTTGAACGGCACAGGTTTGCCGGCAGACAATCGGACTAATGGTATCGACATGGATACGTTTGCCGACAGCCGATGTGTGCACGTGTTTGAACTACTACCTGAGGCAGACGGTGGCGTCGACAACTTTGACATGGCCATTTCGGGGCAGTGTTCGTTGGACCTAGAGTTTGGTACGGCGACACCTACCGGTGGTCTCATGTGCGTCGTTCACGCCGAATTTATGAATAAAATGACAATTGACCACACACGGCAAGCCCAGACTTTGACCATTTGAAGATGAACAACCGACAGCTGAACCTTTTGCTTCGACACAATCGACACACACGTCCAAACCACATTGGTGTTTTTGCATCCGACACTTTGCCAAACTGGAAGCCACGCTGTGGCGGACTTGTCGTAAATTTGGACGAGTCTACTGGACCTGGTAGTCATTGGGTGGCCATTTTTGGTAAACGAGGTATCGGCTACTACTTTGACCCTTTGGGTCAGCAATCTAAAGGTAAAATAAAACTTTGGTTGGAAAAGACGTTTAGACGCATCAGATACATCCCCGAACAACACCAAAAGTTTGGCACCAAAACTTGCGGTGCATTTGTCTTGGTCTTTTTACATCAAATGTCGTTGGGTTGTAAATTTTATGACTTTCACAAATTTTTTCAAAGCATTGCCAATGACGATCACTTTGTGATAAGCTATGTATCGAAACATTTTCGTGTCAACTTGCCTTTGGAGTGGGCAGCTGCAAAGTAGAGTCTGAGCTTTTTTCTCTGCTCCCTCGTATCTCTACAACTACGAAACGTCTGCCGGAGGTTCTCATTCTTATCTTTGTCACGCTGCGGTACGGTCGTCAAATGGAGCTCTCTCAACAACCACAATTCGTCATGCCTCGTTCTTTGACGCACATGTGTGACCAGTGCCAACGGAATTTCACGACACGCTCAAACCTCAATCGACATGTGCATCTCCACTGCCCTGGAAAGCGTAACTTTGCTGTGAGCTACTCCAACGAAGGTGTTCCTCCGGCTCCAGTGACTACCAGCAACTCTGTCAAGGAGGGGAACAACCATCAGCAGCAAGTCGAGAAGTCTTCAAGCGTCGCCACCAACGAGTCAACCGAAACCAAATGCAAACTTTTTCAATTGTTGTTTTTTCTTGATCCTGTTAATCGTGTTATATCCGCTGACTTCGATGCATTTAAAAATCCCTTATCTTAGTGTTGTGCCTGAATAAATATTTGAATGAAAAATTGTTGTTGTCTGAAAATGCACGATAAAAACACACATGGCATAAAAGCAAAAAATGTTACCGTTTTGACCTCCTCAGGGTCTGGACAGGCGTTTTGGATACCTAAAATTGATATTTTTGTTTAGAATTGGGAAACCTCACCTTTTCGACATGTAGTAGATATCGAACTCAGGTTGTCTGTTTACAAATCGAAATACTTACCATCTGACCAAACGATCAGACATTCACAAAAAGTGGTTGGCAGTTTTGTCTTGGCAAGTCGCATTTTTTCGTAACGGTACTCGGGCTTTGTAACGGGTGTAGACACCCTGGGGTCCCAAAACCCTCCTCCCGACTTTCGGGATCGCAAAACCCCCTCTTCCCTACGTTGGGGCCCCAAAACCCCCCTTTCCCACGTTGGGGGTCCTTTCCCAGTTGGATCCCAAACGCCCCACGTTCGGCTGCCGGGTGACAGCTGTCGCTACCGCCTGTTTTGACGCGTACAAACGCGTTTTGTGGTAGTATAAGAAATATGGCATGTAAAACAGAAATTGACTTGGTGGCATGTGTTTTTTGAAGGGGGGGTAAAAGCAACGATACTAGTAGTTCCATTAATAAAATAGTCAATCATAAATTATTTAAATAGTTTGTTTTTTAGAGCCTCTACTTTTCGAACAAATCATCAGCCGAATTTTACGAGACCAAATTGCGGAAAGCCCTCGACAGATACGACCGCGAGATGGGGCTGAAACCCGAGCTGTAAGGGATTCGGTAGCTTAAAATTCGAAACGTAGTTCCGCTTTTCTTGGATCGCAAAATCATCGTTGTTAAATTAGGGGAGCTTTTGCATTATCGGGGGGGAGGACTTTTTTCTAAAGATCCAATTTTCTCATTACAGTAGAGGAATCGCTTCTAACGATTGCTGGACTTAATGACTATACCAAATTTGATTAAAAAATATAAAAATGTAGGTTTTGCGACCAAAAATGGTAAAATTCAACAATTGGAAAGTTTTCGATTGCCACTTTTCCACTTGAAACATTGCTAAATTTTATTAAAACGAGGAAAATATTTACTATGCCGTTACTAGGGATTTCTGGACTTAAAAACATGTTCGTGCCTCCCCCCCCCCCGCTAATGCGAAAGAACCAATTATTATCACCTAAGACGGCCAGAAGATTGTCTTATTCTTTATCCAATCAACCCATAATTTAAACCATTTTTTTCAAATTTTGAAATACTTGACTAGTTTTTTGATTGAAATTGTAGGTAATAGAGCCGCCCAGGACGTTTGTATTGCTTGAAACATATTTTCGCCAACCACAGCCAAAAATGCTTGGGACTATCACATAAAGTAGCAACAAAATAAAGATCGCAGCGCAAAAAGCATAGCAAATAACAGCAAAACCTAAAATCGCCTAGGAATTATTTTATTATTTATCTCATATTAAATTTCTGGAAGGATTTTGCTTCTGAATATTGTGATTAAGAAACATGTCTGGAAGGTTTGTATTGCTTGCAACATCTTTCCGCTAAACAGATCCAAAAATACTTGGGATCATCACGTTAAATTGGGTAGCAAAATGCCATGAAAATTATATGCTTCCTTAGCTTGTCAATCCATAATTTTTATAATTTACTGCTAGGCCAGGATTGTCGTTGACACATATGTCCAGAAGGTTTGTATTACTTAAAACATTTTTTTTGTCAAGCAGATCGAAAAAAATTTTGGGTATTGGGCGGTGGCAGGTCGCTTTTTAACAGGGCGAAACCAACTTTTTGCCAATAATTCGATGCAGCCCTACACCCAAAATAACAACATTTTCTTGCATTTTACACGGTTTTCAACTTTAAAAAGCTCAACAAAATTTCGAAAATCGTTGACTTTTTGGACTCCAATTATGAAAATTGGCCAAAAATGTCTAAAATGTCGAAATTTTTTATCTTTGGTACGTTGCCAGCAATCAAAACTACTAAAAACCCTATAAAAATAATTAGATATCATGAAAGCGTAGCAATAGGCCGAACAACATTAAATTTATTTCCCATTTGCCAAAATCCCCGTCCGCTCAGCTAACCGCCCAGTACCAAATTCTGAGCCACAGCGTAAGGTTTCATAACGTATGAAATATGCATTAAATCCCCCCAAATTTTTTTTGATTTGCCGGAACACTGAAACATTTTTTCAACACATCATTTTTACAGCAAAAACCGGAAGCGCTGGACGATTTGGGGCGGGCTGTACTATGCGGGAACGATTTACACAACGATCGGTGAGTGGGAAATAACTATTGGGATATTTTTTGTTTGATAAAAAGAATGAAACGGAATGAAAACCCTCTAAAATCGGTAAAAAAGATGTAAGGATAAATTTTCGATAACAAAGATGTTTCGCTTTCGAATGAGTTTTTTTGAGATGTTTTTAATGCCGATAGTCGGCGATGTTGTATTTTTCATATACCATTTGAAGAAATAAATGGTAAATAAATGGTATATATTTACTACAGTAATCCCCTGAAAATCGTCCCAATTTCCGCACCTTAAATGTGATTTTGGATGTTGTACCGTAATTTCCACGCTACTTACTGTAATGTAGGCTTTAAATTAAGTACAGTAATCCTCTCGATTTTTGCATATTAATTCATTAATCTTTACTTATATATTCTTAACATATTTTTCAGGTTACGGTGACCTGGCGGTGCGCACAGCGTGGGGACGAATATTCACGATGGTTTACGCGGTCATAGGTATCCCACTCGTCATCACCATACTCAACGATTGGGGCACCCTGCTTTTCACGGCTGTACAATGTACGTTTTTGGTGTTTTAAAGGGACCGGCACGTCAAATTCGCATCAATATATCAAAATTGTATTAAATAAAAATTGATTTTTGGAAACTGAAAAATAACATCTTTCAAGAGAAACCCTTCAGTAATGACATCCCTGATTATTAATGAATTTGCCGGACTATTTCCGCGTTGCCTATTACAAATAGTTATTTCATAACTTGTGTTACGTCTACCTCTACAAAGTGGTCAAAAATTAGGAAGTTTCAAAAAAATATAATGTTTTCCTGGAATATTCGCGGAAATTCTGCCACCGCGTCTAACAATGACGTTTTTGGAGCCTTTTAAATATTACCGATTGAGACCAAATATTTGAGAAATTGTATTCCCTGCCAATTAATAAATTATTATTAAATGAAATAAAATAAAATAAATAAAACTCAAAATTTCAAAATTTTGGATTAGTTGAAAAATTGGCAATTAGCATTAGCATGTTTCGGCGAAAATCCTTGAGACGTGTCAGGTGTCAGGTTTCAATGTAGCAATGTAGTATGCACTATTGTTATGCGAACATGTGAAGACGGCCTATCGATTTTTATTAATTTCACCTTTCTTTCAATCAATGCCTCGTACAAGCTTCAAAACACTCCACTTCAAAAAATTTAATTTAATAAATCGTTTTTCACACTCCCAGGAATCCACCAGGCCTTCTGTAGTTTGCCGCCATTCCATTTTTTTGGCAATTTTTCGAGTAAAAGGGATCTCTAGAAATTAATCGAGCTTGGCAGAACAAGATTAGGTGGCTTGAAACTTGGCTTTTTTGGCTTTGAAACACCTCCATTTAAGGATCACTGAATTAATCGAAAAATATTGCCGGGCTGCGCATATTTGTATACCACTTCCGTGAGGCTATTCCGCACCTACAGCCTCAGGGAAGAATTTTTTGGAAGAAGAAAAACGTCATAAGGGTTAGAATAGGCCGGAAGCGACTGCACACAATTAGATCTCTAAAAATCCACTTTTTCTAGATTAAAATAGGGTTCTTGTAAACTGCTCAATCTCACTCTTTGTTTTGCACGGCCCTTAGATACATATTTTTCGGCGAAAAGCCCTAAATTCACCCCGAACTATGTTGGAATTTTTAGTAACGCCGTGTCAATTTAACAATTCCGGATAAGTCTGGGCAAAAAATGTTTTAAAGATTAGCGAAGCGCATCGGAGCCGCAACTTTTTAATGCGTATGCGTGTCGCCTGTTTTCCAAATTTTTTATTTTTTAGCGGTTTTGCATTATCCGGGGTGGGGGAGTTTATTGGAAGGAATCAAACTTATTTATTTGGGATCATTATTTGTAAGATGAATTCTATCCTGTTTTTAAGGTTTTTAGCGGCCTTTTAGCTGTCACCATACCTTTAAAAAGTCCATTTTTCAGGGTTCTGGCTCAACCACGCACGGCGCTACTACAACAAACTCGGGCAGCTGCTGCAAAAAACATGTTGCAGAAAACGGGCAAAAAGAGGGGATTTGGTGATTTTCAATCGCCATATTGTTTTTTACAGTAATTCGTGTCGAGGGAAGCATAACATAATATTTGTTTAAATGCAAGAATTTCACGGGTTTTATTTAGTTCAATAGAACTTTTTTATAGTAGTAATTTATACATTTTAATCAGCTAATTATATAATTTAATTTAAAACACATGGCTTGCTTGAGTTGCTTGATTTGAATTTTAAGTTTCAAAAAATTTTGCCAACCGGGCCAGGTAAAATTATTGAATAGCCATGGCTGTCTCTCTGGCTGACATATCTGTGAAAAACAAAAGGGATACTGTCTAAAAATACCACAAATTTTATTTAATTGCCAAAAAAAGTTAATTTTAATGTACCTTCAGGACCTCCTGGAAGACGAGGAATCTTTCGACAAGCAACTGCAAGAACAGAATGAAAAGGAAGAAAAAGAAGAGGAGGAGCAGGAGCAGGGAAAACCCGCGGAGAACGAGCCAATTCCACTCTTTTTGGTGGTAGGATTTCCTAGGCCTAAAAAGATTTGCTATCAGTTTGTCGAAATATCATTTCGTCGAAATTTCATCCCGTCGAGATATCAAATCACTGAAATTTTATTTGTGGGATGGTTAAGATGAACATTCGAGGGGAAATGCATTGAAATTTGGATAAATAAAAAATACCGTTCTTATTGCCTAAGAGAATTATCGCGCGAAACCAGTTTTTCTCGAAACATTCAAGTTTCAAGTGCACATTTCCACTTCCGTAAAGGTTTTTTTTTAGAATTGGTTGCTCCTTGGACCATTACTTAGATTGAAGATGGCGCCAATATTAACTTGTCTGAAACATTTTTTCCGAGAATTAAATAGCGAGCAAAGAAACCAAAAAGGGGCAGTTGACAGTTTTAATTTGCCACAGTTCGCCCAATTATGCTAGTCTCCAAAATAAGCCTATAAATCAGAAATGGCAATTCCGGGCGGCCGAAGCAGGAAAAAAATCACCCACTTCCGGGCCCCGGAAAAGAATTCCAGCCATATTGCCGACATACGAATTGCCGACAGCCAAGTTGCCGACAGCCGAATTGCCGACAGCCAAGTTGCCGACAGGCCAAATTGCCGACAAGCCAAATTGCCGACAACCAAGTTGCCGACAGCCAAGTTGCCGACAGGCCAAATTGCCGACAGCCGAATTGCCGACATATTCGTGAATTTAAGTCAAAGTCTAAGCTTTGGTATATTTGAGTAGCATGACTGTTTAACATGCCAAATTTGGGTAGGGTCTGGCTGCGTGACAAAACCGAACCCGGAACCTTTGCTTGGTGCTAGCGCTTTAGACCACTAGACCAAGAGACAGACAGTGAAGGGGAAGCGGAGAAGGTATATGAAGCTTCCGGGGCAGAGCCCGCAGGCTACCGTCTCGTATGTTAATTGTGCTTTGAATCCACCGGAAATTCTCCCGGATATAAATGTCTACATAAAATTTCCATTCTAACCCCAAATACTGTCTTTTGTATAATCTGTCGGCAATTTGGCTGTCGGCAATATGGCTGTCGGCAACTTGGCTTGTCGGCAACTTGGCTGTCGGCAATTTGGCTTGTCGGCAACTTGGCTGTCGGCAACTTGGCTTGTCGGCAATCTGGCTGTCGGCAACTTGGCTGTCGGCAATTTGAATGTCGGCAATTTGGCGATTTCCCCCCGGAAAAATATGCAAATTCGCGGGGCCGGGCCCGGGCCCGGCCGAACTTTTGCGGGGCCGGGCTCGGCCGATTCGGCTCGGCCCCGAAAACTAAAGTAACTGATTTGCGTCTAAATTCAGATGCAAATATGCAAATTTGCAATGAAAATTTGAGGTGCGTTCGTTCAGCTACGACATCGATCTTGCTGAAATTCGAAATTGCATGAATATTCTGACTGAAGGTGATTCACAACCGGGATTTCTGATTAGAGTGCGCCCTTGCGGCCCCGGGCTCGGCCCCGATTTTGGCTTAACCCGGGGCCGGCGAGCAAAGCCGAGCCCCGTCGGCCCGGCCGCATGCAAGTTTTTGGGGGCTGAAAAAGCCCGGGGGCCGGGCCCGTTGCCATGTCTGCTATAAATGTATTTTTTAATCACCTTTTTATCAAAGTCTATCACGGCCGCACTACTACCGAAATTGACAACGACTGAAATACTAATTTTTCCGTTACATTGTTTTGCTGAATTTTGAGCAGAAGAATGAAACCTTAATTTTGGGACGGTTCTTCCACCCAAAAATAAATCCAAAAAATCCGCCAGTTTCGGAAGCGAGAGAGAGAGAGAGAGAGAGAGAGAGAGAGAGAGAGAGAGAGAGAGAGAGGAGATATCATAAGTTAAAGTTTCATGTTTCAGCTGGTAGTCCTGGTCTTCTGGGTGTTGCTGTGTTGCGCCATGTTTTGCGCATGGGAGAATTGGACACTTTTCGAGTCGATCTACTTCTTCTTCATTTCGATGACCACCATAGGTTAGTTTGAATTTTTGTTCTGTCTGAATAACACCAGAAAATTTGTAGCAAAATTAGGTTTCAAGATTTATTGCCAGTGAAAGGAATGAGATTAAGTTACTATCGTCTTGGGAGCTGATGTTAGCAAAATTCAATCTTTAGGACCCGTTAGTATCAGGGATTTTGTCTGGCTTTGAATGGAAGCTTGGAGTTAGCTAGAAGAAGCCAATTTCTGCAATAAAATACGAGAAAATTGCAATAAATTGAATTTTAACGGCAAAAGCAAATGTTTCAGGACTTCAAGGCGTTAATTTCTTTAGGGTTCTAAAATCGGCCGATCGATGTTTCATATTTAATTTTCGCTTTTTTTTACATTTCGGTTTTAACGGCAAAATCCATGTTTCTGGACTTTGGAAGCATTAATTTCTTTAGGGATCTATAATCGACCGACCCGTGTTTCAAAGTTATTTTTAGCTTTTTATTGAATTTAATTTGCTTTTGAATTGACATTCCACTATAGCTTATTCGTTGTCTTTAAAGTTGAACTCGATGCTTGAAAAATTTTAGAAAATGTCGATTCATATTTTTTAATTCTCCGAATTTAAGTTTAAAGCTCGATAAAAAAAATCGGACTTTCTCGAATTTTAAAAACTCGGTATAAATATATATTTCAAAATTTTAACTTATCGCAGAAATTTAAAAATCAAGATTTTTTTTCAGGCTTTGGCGACATCACCCCATCCCATAAAGTGGCCGTTATCAATTTTCTATTTATTCTGATGGGCCTCTCCGTCGTCTCGATGGCAATTAACATTATTCAGGTAATTTTAATTGTTATTTTTAATAAATATTGATTTATTTATTGACTATTTCAGGGTATTTATTGAATCCATTTTTCATTTTCTACAATAAATGACCCGATTTTGTCGAATTATCAAAATCAAACGCATAATTTCATGGCGATACATGAGACACATTATCACCTGAAATTCTTGGGGATAAATGGGCGTTTTAGAAACATTTTTTCTAGATCATACTGGTTTGTTAAGGTTTTCATCGAGCTGCAAATTAGCCTTTTAATACTGTAACAACGATGATAAATTTTGAAACATTTTTTATTTATTAGTAGAGGCATCCTTTTAACCTGAAAAGGCCTTCATATTAATCAATTTCAAAACCGTGTTTTTCAAAGCACAATTTATGGACATATCCTAACGAAAAAACGGTTCCAAGCCATTTAATTTTGTTAAACATTGTTTGTTTTGTTAACTAAAATTTTTGTCAAACTACCGTTTGCTATTTATCAGCAAAATAAACATTTTAAGCTTAAAACTTATTAGAATTTTAAATTAACTCTGATTAAATTGAGGTCACCACTTTTCAATTTTATATTGATGCCGACGTCGGGTCCACAAGACAATTTTTCCCAGAAACATACTTTACCAAACCGATTTATTTCATAGCCAGCCAGGCAACGAAATGATAAAAATAATTATGTATTTTATATAAAATTACTATTTATTGATGACGACTTAGTTTTTAGATGAACCTGGAACTCATTTTTGCAAAAATCGTCGCCTCCATCGATACCGATTTCAAGAATTCACTGCAGGAGGGAGGTCGGTTTTTTACGAAATTTTTAGTCATATTATTTTTTTGTGAAATTATCCATTGACTCTTATGCGATTGCCATTTATAATAATCTGTTCATTGGTTAAATTCGATTGCTTCGCCGCCGTTTAGGAAATAATCTAGGTCGCTGTAATAAAGAAATACCAGATCACGCTAACTGAAAATTTCCTGGCACATTCATTTTTAAAGAAAGGAAAGGTAAGGTACCAAACGAAAGCAAAATTATTCGCGATGATAAAGCCGGCACATTGCGCGTAGATGAAACATGTATCACAAACGGCTACGGTTCACTTTAGCTCCCCCCCCCAGCCCGAGTGTCGCAAAATTTTCGAGAATTCCGCTATTTTTCCGGCTTTTCGCGACGGAATTCGATAGAGCTTAAAAATATACAACGAGTTTTAATCAGAGCCAAAAACTTCGTCATATAAAAAAGTTATGGCAAAAAAAAAACAAAAATACCCTTGGAAAATGGGCCCAAAAAAGCTAGTTTTCTAGTTTTCCACGATTTCCCCGCTATTTTTTAATCATTTCTACATGCCATTCGATATGGCTTGAAAAAATATTCAAAGAGCTTTAATTGCAGTATAAAATACCGTAATGTAAAATTGCTACGTTATAAAAATCACTCTGAAATGGCTACATCAAAAATGTTGGGACCTTCCGGCTATTTGGGGGTAAATTAAACTAATTAACAGAATCAGAAAAATTAAAAATGAAAATTAACTAATTATTTTGTTAAATGTTAGAATTAATTTCGAGAGATTCCGATTTGATCGATGCGGGACTATCTACGTGGAATTAATCATACCGAAATTACCGCAACCTGACCCGGCTTTGAAACATTTTTTTGAATAGGAGTCAAAAATTACTTTTTGGTAATATTGTAAGCGTCTTCAGGCTTTCTGAACAAATTGCGCATGCGTCGATCCCCCGCTCCCGATTACGGTATACCCCCTATTAGTTTCCTAACATTTCCACGGAATGCCCATTCAAACGAGATTATTTTGCTTCAAAAATGCAATTCATGCGGACGGTCAATTAATGAAAAACCACACCTTGATTATCTGATTTGACACGAATTTGATCTGATCGATCAAATGAAACATTTTTTACACACCTATTTAAATTAGGTTTTTCACATTAATTTAATTTTTAAAGTTCCTACGATTTCGGACTTTTAAAACGATAACAAAGAAAAGTTGTTACTGTATGTTAGCGGGAAAATCCAATTTTTCTTTTGCCACCTAATTACTTGCTGCAAAAACATACTACAAAAATCAAGAGGCTTAAAACTAGTTATTAAAATTGCGAAAAATGAACTGAACTAAATTATCAAAACAATATTGAATAAGCTAAAATTGACAAAAAACTGAATTCAGATCTAGATGTTTTATGTATTCTTGATGCGAAAACTAAGTTAATCGTGACAGTACTTGCACGGACATGATTCTATTTAAATAAGAAACCAAAAATAAATTTATTTTCGCCCGCCGAAACCCCCCAGCTAATAGTCTAGTCCCGAAATTCCGCTTCCCAAAGAATCGCTGCCAGCTCGCAGCTGGATTGAAAGGACTCAAAATTATATGTTTCCGGGAATTAAATTCACATAAATTTGGTGCGGCAATTAATTATGCCACTTGCTGTATTTCCGGAAAACAATTGACTGGGCATAAAAAGCTTTTTAGTTCGGCTACCGTATTTTTATAAATAAATATGTTTTCAATACGTTAGGTACGTTTTCAATTTTCAGTTGGCGACGACCTGAAGACGAACGCGGAGGGCGCCGAGAAAAAGGGCATGGAGCCGGAAGGTACCGTTTCAAATCGTTGTTTTTCCGGGACATGGAATTCCCCAAATCACACAAGTAATTCTAAGCGGTTTTGGTGAAACATTATTTTTTGAAGGAGAATTCAAACTTACTTATTATCACGCATTTTATATATGCTTTTTTAATTATTTCTGTGCAGTTTTTATGTGTATTTTTCCAACATTGCGACACGCAACGAACATGCTCCGTTGTTCCATTTAAATTGGAAAATTTTTATATTCAAAATAGGTCGAAAAATAGCTAATTTTAATGCTTTTAACCCAAATTTAAAAGCCTTAACTGGAGTAGCATTTAAAAAAGTTTAGACAGTCGCTATATTCATTGGAACAATTGAATACTCGGGGTGCTCAGCGTGAATCAATAGCTACGAAATTCGGGGAGCTCGCGTTTTTGTAAAACATTTTTTTATGAATAAAAATTACGCAAAAATTAAGAGAATTTGGCACTCGAACTTCGCCAGCCTCCATTTCAACGCACTTTCCAAACTACATCAAACCTCTTAAATCCGCCGTCTATTGGAAATTTTGTGCAACATTGTTTTTTAACGAAAAATAAGACTGAGTTCTGCAGTCAATATAAGGAGTTTTGGTGAGCCGCGCCGCGTCACGCAGCGCGCCTGGATAATGAAAATGTCAAGATTCAATATATGGAAATTCACAATCTTGATATTTTTGAATTTTTTTGGAATTTTTAAGACCCAATTTTTCTATGATTCCAGAAATACCTAGTAACCTTATAGTAAGTATTTTAAGTGTCTTTAGCCAATTTTAGCTAGATTTCAAGTGGAAAACAATTTTAAAAACTTAGAAGCTTTTTTTAAATTTAAATTAATAATCGGAATAAGGCCAAGTTCGATGGTTTTTGTATTTACTATAATATTTTCTAAGTTTTCTACGTTTAGGAATAGTAAAAACAGCTTAGAAACGCTTACGCTTATTATAGTAGAAAATATAGATGCTTAGAAAAGGTTTACCCCCCCCAAATAAGGCGAAAGTACCGAAAATCATCGCATCAAAAATTTCTTGTCGTATTGGATTTACACGAAACTCGGGGAATACGGGAATTGCCTAAAACATTTTTTTTCAGATGGCGACGTCGTGAAGGAGTACTCGAAAGATTTTCCCGGATCTCAGAAACTGCTTATGCGCTTCATGAGCAACCATCAGTAAGTGGCAAAAATTATGGGGAAATTTCGGTGGTACCGAAAACAAATAATTAAATAATTAAAAAAGATAAACAAGCTGCAAACACGCGCGAATTAGTTTTCAAATGCCAACGGTTAGTTATTTTTCTTTAAAACATAATTTTTTCTAAATATTTTACCATCGCAAATTTGACTTCTATTGATTTTTCCTTTAATTTAATTTAATTTGCTTAACTTTGCAAGCTTTTCCTTTGATAACCTGGTGATCGTTTATTGCAATCGCGCCGACACCGCACTATTTAAATTTTTACAAAACATTTTTTTGGGTACTTTTTCATTCAAGCTATTTTTATTTTTAGTTTTAAACGCTCTTTTATGAATTTTTATTCCTTTTTAGTTAAAATTGTTTAATAAGGATTGTATACATTAACGTAACTATAACAAAACATATAAACTATGCAAAATTCAGACGAAAAATGCTGGAGGAGAAATTCGATGAGCGCGCCAAGATGCGAAGCAAGTATACGCAGACGTTTCGACAGATTACGGTTGGAATTTTGAGGCTTTTTAGTAAATAAAAAGTATACACATTACCTTCGCCAATTAACTGGGTCGCAAGGGGACCAAGCTCGCTACGCGATGAAACATTTAATAATTTTTTACAGACTTGGACATGAATTTAGGTTTTAAGCAAAACCTGGGCAAGGAATTGTTTAATATTAACAATTCGTTAAAAATGCTGATCACTTTGCGATAAAACATTCATTTTCTCCCGGAAACGGAGATCAACAAATCTCTGGCGCGACTAAATCGCAACAGCTGCTTGCAACCGCTCAAGGGAATTTGATGAAACCTTGAATTTCTCTGAGCCCCTCTTCACGCCTATCCCTGCATGCTTAGAATTAGCGGCCCTAAGTAAGCAACGCGGCACTCCTATCCACGCAAAAACGTATGGGGCTAAAACTACTAAGAATTATAATTTTAAAACGAAAACCATGACTGAAACATACTTCCGCCAAAGCATAACCATATTGTTTTAGATAATTTTATAACTTTAAAAGACGTTATTCGAAAGCTTAAATATCAAAGAAAATCTAAAAAGTTATTAAATTTTGAAAACTCGGATAATTCCCTTCCCCCATTAACGGGGAAGTTGCCCCTTACAAGGTGTCGCTTTTAGGTGCTTTTGGAGTTTCGGGACGGGACCTAGCTAGTTCGATAGAGAAAAAAATTCTGAGCAACATCCCGTTTTCAAAAAGTGCTGATCGATAAAACTGTTTTAGAAAATTGAATTTACTTAAAAATGTTCCCGGTGTCCGGACCCTTGTGGTGATTTGAGGTGATTTGCGGCGATCGATCGCCCCTGCCAGATGAGGACTTTACGCGCCTTGGACCTCGTCCTATGCGTGGCCAAGTGGCTAGTGCGTTGGCCTAGGAAGTTTTTTTGACCTTTTCCCACAAGTTCGATTCTTATTTGCCGTTAACTCTTTGCTTTTTTTGCTAATTAAAATTTTATGCACTGATAACGGGTTCAAGAACCAAAAAGCAAAGGGTTAGCCAGCGCGAAGATTCAAACCCGAGACAAAAAACTGTTAAAAACTTGGTAGGCAAGCGCGCTACCAATACGCCAATGCAACCTGTGATGGAGGCATTAGCGGAGAGTTAGGAATGGCGCCCTGCCCAGTCCCGAAAACGACGTGAACCGAGGAAATGGACCCGAAAACCAGAAAAAAAACGCAAACTTTAAATTAAGTTTTCTAAAATTCCTTTATCGATCAGCACTTTTTGAAAACCGGATGTTGCTCAGAATTTTTTCTCTATCGAACTAGCTAGGTCCCGTCCCGAAACTCCAAAAGCCCCTAAAAGCGACTCCTTGTTAGCAACGAATTTCGCGTAGCCATTGTGCTGACGGAATTCCAAAGTTATTCTCCTCATCTTGACACTTAATTTTCGAAACATTCTTGTATAAAATATCGATTTTTTGCACAAGATCGGTTTATTATCGGAAATAGTTTTTCTAGTTAAAATACAGTTTTATTTTACTCAATATTATGATAAAAAATAATACGACCTATTAAGTTTATTAATAGTCTTAGCAAATTTAAGCGACTAAAACAAAAATATAAGGAAACTATAGTTTAAAATATCGTTTGAAGTAGATATTTACATTTTTAAGCCCTTTGTTTCGCCATTTCGTAGTCCCTTGATCCAGGTCCATTGGTCATTCTAGAATTCTTCTATTCACCCTGGCACTAAATTGCCGAAACATTTTTTCATAAAATATCGATTTTTTTTAAGACAAAATCGGTGCAAACGCAAGATCGACAGTACTACGATGAGGAATATAAAGAGGAGGAGCAGCCCAAATTCAATTCGGCAATCTCGACGAAACGACTCTACATCTACAATACTGGATTTGAATAACGAATTTTTGAAGCGTTTTATTGTTTTATTGATTGTTTATTTTTCTGATGCTGGACTGATCTCGGGTGATAAATTATTTTTACAATCTTATTTCCAAATGCTATTAAGCGTTGGATTCCGCACGCAAAAATAAGCAAAGATGAAACATTAACCCGAAATCGTATTTTGAAAACTTTTTGTTATTTCTTTAATACTTTTCATGAATTAAGTAAAAAAGTTTATGGTTTCCAGCGGGGCGGGAAATTATAGAAAAAGCGTCTTTAATCGAGTTTCCGTCGTAGTATTGGTGGGAAAGATCGAATATTTTTGGTTCTTTCGCATTATCGGGGGGGGGGATTCTTAGCAATGAATTGTATTTGGAAATCCTGCAAAGCCTTTTAAGGTATTCTTGCTTATATCCAGCCTTTTTGAAAAACAATTTGCGCCCAAATTTAATGATTTTTGTCCAATCCAAAAACATTCTTTTTGTAGATTTGCAAAGTAGGCAAAAAAAAACAACGCAAAAAAGGCAAAAATCCCGACAGCCGAATCTCAGCATGAAAAAGGGTTGCTGCAAGTTAAGAGGCACTCAAACTAACCTCAAAAAATATGTCGTTTGTCCATCGGGATTTTTGTCTGTTGGGATTTTGGCCAGTCGCTATTTTCGGTTGCAGAAAAGAATAGCGGGACATCCGCGAAAAGCCATAGCTCAAAACGGAGAGCCATCCTTACACGTCCCTTTAAAGGGCACGTTCAGGGACGTTTTTTTTGGAAAAAAGCAAAGATTTTGGCCGCGGCCGGGGGTCGAACCCGGGCCCTCCGCTCGGGAGGTGCGGATGCATACCAGTCAGCCACAGCTACAACCTGGAGAGGGGGCGAGGGGCGCCCCACGCCGCAAAGGAGGGGAATGGCCTGTCACGGCACGGGCAGGCAGTGCGCGCGGTCCCTACGTCCATAGGGTGTACACGTTGGGACGAGTACACGGCCCCTCCCTGAACGTGCGCTTTAATAATTCCCCAAATCGCTCGAGCAACTTTGAGCTCTCATCCGAGGGGTGTAGCCGCGTGTCCCCCCACGGGTTATCATTTATCAAATCCGAGCCGAAAAAATTTACAGCTTCCTCTCCGGCCGGCTGCCGGCACGCCGCAGTTTACAAGCCATTCCCCCTTGTGTTTTTGGCCGCTGGTCATTTTATTCGACTCAAAAAATATTTGTTTCAAAATTTAATTCACCTCAACTATTCGCTGAAACGCTATTTTACGATCCGTTTCGCTTGCGAAAAATTCAAATTTTTCTTATTCTATGAAACGCTATAATTTAAGTGCTCTAATTCTGGTATTTGCCTGCTATTTACCTCTAATTTTTACGGCTGAAAATTCTACCGTACCCCACCTGGAAAATAGCAATTTTTATTTGAATCTAACGACTACGGTATTGGACAATCGCCGAAAAATCCCGAACATCGAAAAAGACTACTTTGAAGACACGCAGGGCCTGAATTGCATCTACGGAATACAGGGTAAGCTTAATCAAACAGCAGATCCATTCACTAAAAAAAATTAAAAATTTTTGTGTAGTAATTTTTTTTAAACATTCATTTTTTTGGGAAACCTCAAAAATTCGCCAGATAAGGGTGAAAATGCCGACGCTAAACTTGATAAATTTTTGTTTAAATAAATTCTGAAAATTGCATTTAATAACAATATTCTGATGAATATATAGGGGTAACGCAAAAATCCCGACAGCAGAAACGCCGACAACAAAAAACCCCGACAAGCCAAACTCCCGACAATCCGAAATCCTAACCCGGAAAGACAATAGCGACAAGCCGAAATGTCGACCGCCAAAATGCCACCGTGAAAAAAAAATTAGCAGCAAAGCAGCGAAAATAAATTAGGGGATTCTCCAATTTTTGAGTAGTAAGTTTTTCGAAACATTTAAATTTTTTGTAACACTCAATATTTCCCGAGATATGGCTCCATATTTCCGCCGTTAAAGACCGTCAGTACGATGAAATATCGTTTAGAGCAAGAAAGTTGCGCACCGGGCGGGGGTCGAACCCGCGATGGTTCGCTCCACAGTCCGACGCGCTAGCCACTATACCACAGGGTCAAGTGGGGAGGGGAGTCAGAGGCGCCCAACCCCAGAGGGTCTTTGCCCAATACGGGACACCACTAATGACTACCCTCTCTGCGCGTTCTGGGGGCCCCACACTTGGGGTGACAGTGCGTGTTCCATCGCTCTGGTAGTCTTTAAGCTTGATAAAGTTTTGCTTAACTAATTACGTCAAGTACGTCAATTATTACGTCACGTTCCGTCAAATATAACCAATCAGATCACTATGTCGGGGAAGGCAAAAATCCCGACCGCGCAACTCCGAAAATGCCGACGGCGAAAATCGCGACATGCAAAATCTTCAGCTAAAAAGAAGTTTTGGAGCTATTGATGTTTGGGGTTATGTTTTTTTTTGGGGGCTTTTTCTGGCCTAAGCTTGTCTCAAAGCCAAAGCTAACCAAGCCAAGCCAAGCCTAAGCCGAGACTAGGCTTAAGCCCAAGTCTAACTAAGCTAATCCTAAGCTAGCTTTAGGCTAAGTCTAAGCTAAGGCTAGGCGAAGCCTAATGTAAGCCTACACTAAGCCTAAGCTAAGCCGAAACCAAGCCTAGGCCTAAGCTAAGCCTAAGCCTAAGCCAAGCCTAGGCATAAGCTAAGTCTAAGCCAAGCGTACGCAAAGTTAAAGCTACGCCTAAGACGTCCGCCGTTGAAAGTTTAAATTTTAAAAATCATTTCTTTATAGGTATTTGGAAATCCTGCAAAACCTAAGGTAATCTTGCTTATATCCAGCTTTTAAAAAACAATTTGCGCCCAAATTTCATGCATTTTCGTATTTTTCTGCAATTCAAAAACATTCTTTTTGTAGATTTGCAAAGTAAGCAAAAGAACAAAGGTAAAAGGCAAAAATCCCGACAGCCGAATCTCAGCATGAAACAGGGCTGCTGCAAGTGAAGAGGCCCTCAAACTAACCTCACAAAATATGTCGGTATTTTGTCAGTCGGTATTCTGCCCCTTCGGCAATCTGGATGTCGGCATTATGGTTTCTATCAAGATTGTTCCTAGAAACTAATGCACAAAATCGACATTTCTCGCATCGGCGTTCCTTTTACAATCTAGCCATTTCGGGAAAAACGAATATAGTAAACCCATGCCAATTAAGCTCCCGGATTTACGAAACATGCTTTCTAAACAACCTTAAAACCTTATGTTTTCAATTCAAATTGGTACAAACTAAAGTAGTTTAGAACTATTCTAGTGTTTAAAACTAAACTAATGTATTTAAAAACTATTTTGGTCGACGGGGGAGATAGTCATTGGGAAGTCTCAGGATTTTTTATTTTTTATTTTTTGTGAAACATATTTTTCAAGTTTTCACGTTTATCGTTTAAAATTTAAGAAATTCCTTGCTATTACTAAAAAGCCACTAAAAAGCCACGGTATATAAATTATTATGAAACTAAAAGGGTCGGCTGAGAAATTATGAATTAGGAAATTTTTGCAACGCGGACGTGCGTTGGGGACTGCCGCGTTCAAAAATATTGCGAATCTTCACATTTTTGAAACAATAATTTTTGCCGAAAAATTCAAAACTATTCAATTTGAAAGTGAATAGTTTAAAAATATAGTTTTTTAATTAAAGCTTGTAAGAAAAGTCTAAAGTTTAAAGATAAAAGTTAAGAAAATTCATTAAAGGGCCCAAGAGGTCAAAACTGTAGTATACGGGAATCGAACCTAAGTGCGGAAAAAGCAAAGGGTTACGGCCTTACGGCAGTCCCGAAAATTCAATTGCTTTCGTTTCAAAAAACGCTAAATATTTGTGAAAAAATGATTTTTGCGGCAAAATCGACATTTCGACTGGCGTGGAATATATGTCGTAATACCCTGTAAAGCACCCAATTTCATAATCTTGGTGATTCCTAGGCCTATTTTGAAACTTAAAAAAACTAAAATGTTTGTAATCGCCTGAGGACTCGAAAAATGCCGGTAAAACTTTTAAATTTTAGATTTTTAAATTTAAATGAATTTCAAGGACATTTTCAGTTTTCGATTTTATGGTCTATTTTTCCAGGTACATTTGACGGCGAGGCGCTAGAAGTGCCCGAGCAGTACAAGGAATGCGACGATCAAACAAAGTACTGCCAAAAAATCTCCGCGCATTACGGTAGGTGCCACCAAGAAAAATGTTTTAAAGCAACAGGACTAAAAGGTTCCGTTTTATTAGTTAGTCGTTTTTGCCATAGTTTCTGATCAAAAATAAATGCCAATACTTTATAAAGGCAATAGTTACTAAAAATGTATCTTTAATAATACTGGTATTTAACAAGAAAGTATACTAGGTTCTGATTAATAAATAATAATAGTTTGGCGATGTTTAATAGACTAAGTATATCTCTAATAATAATATTAACAGTTTTAAATTTAATGTTCATGAAAAAGAGGTTGAAAAGTATGTTTCCTCATAAGAGATGGTTGAAGGCGCAATGACACAGATAATCCATTGAATGCGGTCATTTCGCACATGACGTGAAAACGCAAGAACTTGAAATTCCCCACGCCATCTTTAAGAATCCTTATGCATTTTTAATAATTTTGGCAGTTTTACTAATTAAAATTGACCAGGGAATTATAGAAATAGAATCTTTTATAGCCTTAGTGGGAGAAGGATCGATTTAACGAAAGTATGTTTTATAAAAATTTGACAAAAACCTCATTTCGGACCCGTATTAGTGTACCCAGCACCCGGTATTTCAAAAATATTAGGATAGGCCTTATAACCGTAAAATTACTATAGACCTTTGGCTACTGGCGCCACCCCCCGCTAATGAACCAGAACCAAAAAAATGCTCGGGGTGTTGCTGTTTAAATTTTAAAAAGAGATAAAAACAAATTTTGTTTAATTCAATTCAATCAACTTAAATTAAACTCACTAAACCAACCTGCAAAAACGAATTACATTAAGTAAATAAAAAATTAAAGTAAATAAATTCGGATAAGTTGAGGCTCCCTCTATAATCTATCGAGCTTCTATCGACTTTTTTACGCGATAGAAGCAAAGTATCCAACTTAATGCACTTTTTAATAGTTTTAAATTCATGTTTGAAGTAATTTCTCGCAGTACGAAGTTAATCCATCCCGTTTAGTGTCGGTGGCCGAGATCACGAAAATCACGATGCGCGGCTGTGATCGGATGACGATCGAGGAAAATTCGCAGATACCGTACCATCCCATAAGATGCAAAGTGGGTTTCAAACAAGTATTTTCCGAAGCAGAAGATGCTAAATTGAATTAAAAGATTACATTGTTAAAACATATAATTTTTCGAAACGATAAATATTCCAGAAAGCCGGCTGCAGCGAGTATAAATCGGAATTTGACCACGAAATCTACCACGTGTGCTGCTGCAATACTGATTTTTGCAATGGCGTCGGTGGAATGACTATATTGATATCGATTTCTTTTTTCGTTTTCGGACTGATAAATTTTATTTTCTATCTGCTACGGGTACCGCTAATCCTACCCTATAAAAATCTCAGGTAGAACCGATTCATTGAAACATGTTGTTTTCAAAAAAAATTACAGCAGAAAAGACAGGATTTATGTGAAAACGACGAACTTGCGGAACATCGAAATTTCTTCATTTCGAAATTCACATTGTCGAGTTCCGTAATGTCGAAATTTCAGAATGTCAATAAAATGCCGAAATTAAATAATGCCGACATTTTATTCAGACTGTCAAAACCGAAATCACAACTCTCCCGAAAACTCCTGGATAATATGCCAAACAAATGTCGACATTATGAAATTTCGGCATTTTCAATTTCGGCATTATTAAATTTCTACAGGACGAAGTTTCGACATTATTAAATTGCGGGATTATTAAATTCCTACAGTACGCAAATTTCGGAATGTCGGCATTATTAAATTTCGATATTATCATAGTTCGGCATTATGAAATTCGGAATTATGATAGCAAATTGCCGAATCATAGTTTCCCAGGGCTTTTTGAATTTCGTATTCGAATACCTAATTTGCATCCGTAGCATTTGGTATAACTTCCGGAATATTGGCGTTTGAACGACTCGATAATGTTCGACAAAATCTTCAAAAACCCCCAAATCCCACCGGCTTCACGATGTTCGTCTGGATCGCCGTCGGCATCAATCTGGGTAAAAAATTTCATTGCATTTTACAGGAATTGCTGTATAACGATATACACAGTTTTTTTAGCTATAAAAAGCACCTTAAAAAGTATCCAAATTACGAAAAAATTTTCTTTTTTTTGCCGAAAATGGATGAAAAATGGCAAAAAAGTTTACCCTTTTCATTAAATTTTTGAATTTTTTTGTAACAGTGTTTCAAAGTTTCATTAGGGCCGGGAAAGCTAACAAAGACTACTGCGGAAAGACTGTATGGCTTAATTCAGGTACGGGGCTGCTGATCATCCTGGCCGACATCATCCTGCTGCTCATGTTCCGCGTCAAGAACCGCGACTACGAGGTACTTTGTACTGTGGATTTTGTGTTAGCTATCCCAAATTTTAATTTTTTATAGTTCCAAGTTTGATTTTCCAGATGGACACGTTGAAGCGCAGCTTCCAGCGCGTACGCGACGCGGCTGGGGAGGCGCGGACGCCCGCGTTGGGCATCTACTTGTTGTGTAAACAGGTAATCAGATGTATTCGCTTCTCGCAATCTCTCTCTCTCTTTCTCTCTCTTTCTCTCTCTCTCACCCTCCCTGACTCTCACTCTCTCGCATCCGCTCTCGCTCTCTCTCGCTCTCTCGTTCTCTGTCGTTCTCTCTCTCACTCTCCCTGAATCTCACCCTCTCACTCTATCATTCTCTCTCTCTCTCTCTCTCTCTCTCTCTCTCTCTCTCTCTCTCTCGCTCACCCTCTCTATAGCTCTCACGCTTGCTCTCGCTTATTCTCTCTCTCAGCCCCTCTCACCCTCTCTCGCCCTCTCTTCGCTCCCTCGCTCTCTCGCTCTTTCTCTCATTCTCTCATTCTCTCTTTCTCTCTCGCTCGAAAATTCACATTTTTTCAGCTAAAAATGACGGACGAGGAGATCCTGGCCGAGTACGAGAAGGATTGGGGCGAGCGTAAGCTTATTGTACAGGTATGATTTCGAGGGATTCCGAGTTTAGGCTTGGCGTAGGCTTAGGCTTTGGCTTAGGGATATAAACTACAAACTGCAATTTCCAGTCGGTGACGGGCAAGGACTGTTCGGTGGACAACTATTTCCTGAACCGCTACATGTCCCGTTTCATGCAGTACGGATACGCGGAGGAGGGCGTCCTCATCACGGCGTTGAGGTGAGAGGGCGAGAGAGCGGGAGAGCGTGAGAGATAGAGAACCAAACTGAATGAGAGAGAGTGATAGACAGAGAGAGAGAGCGAGAGAGAGAGAGAGAGAGGCAGAGAGCGAGAGCGAGAGCTGGGAGAGAGGAAGATCGCGGGAGAGAGTGAGAGATCGAGAAACCGAGGGAACGAGAGAGATGGGGAGTGAGAGAGAGCGAGAGAGTGAGAGAGATTTTTCAACTTTTCAGGGCTCGCATCGCTGAGACGGCGAAGAAAGACGAGGAGAAGAAGGACGAAGAGAAGAAATAGAACATTCCGCAACGATCTCTGCCAGCCTGCCCCAGCCATCAAAGTCCACAGAATTCCCTCCCCCAGATCCCTTCGGCGTTAATCACACATCGTCTGCTTGCATAAATCGTTTTGTCAGGATTTTTGAAAGATAATTTCATTTTTTATTTGTGCTTTTAGTAACCTGTAAAAGGATTTATTTTTCAATGAAGTATTTTATACTTAAATACAGAATATAGTCATTAAAGCTATTTCCATATCACAAAGCGGCGATACTTGCTCGGCTGAAGCTCGCTGTGTTTTAGTTCATTGCCACCTTTAAATTTTCCTTTTGAAAAACGCAAACGTCAAGGAAAAAACACTATTAAGCGCGCAAAGCACTATTTTATGAGGGCACTTTTTGAAACATATTTTTCAAAACTTTATGACTTAGGTCAATTTAAAGAATTTTACAGAATTTAGTATAGTTGTTTAAAAGGCTAAGCTCGAGCAGGAATTCTCCTGAGCGCAGGCGAGCGAGAGAGACAGAGAGAACGAGAGAGAGAGAGAGATCCGGGTTGTACACCATTTTTCAGATCTGATGTTTCGGCTTTTTCCAAAGCTATGGAAATTACCAGCATCATAATGGTCCATCGTGATGTTGACGCGCGCATTCACACATTTTTTCGAGCTTTTTTCGTGATATTGGAGTTTGTTTGAGGACGGATGGACGGACCCCGAGAGGAGGGCAGGCTAGCAGAGATTGGAGGAGGAAATGGACGGACCCCGAGAGGAGGGCAGGCTAGCAGATATTGGAGGAGGAAATGGACGGACCCCGAGAGGAGGGCAGGCTAGCAGATATTGGAGGAGGAAATGGACGGACCCCGAGAGGAGGGCAGGCTAGCAGAGATTGTTTGAGGAAATGGACGGACCCCGAGAGAAAGGCAGTATTTTCAGATCTTCACTAGCAAGGCTTTTATTGAAAAAAAGTTACGATTTTTTTACTTCCATTTTTCCAGCGTCATTTGTTCTCTACGTAGCCGTTGTGGTGGGGCAAGAATGCCGCCACACCGATTTGATTACTTCCCATTTCGTCTTTTCGCCCCCCATTTTTCCGTTTCTTTCCGCCCAGCCGAGTCCAAGGCCATCCTCTTCACGCCCTCTTCGACTCCGCGAAAAAACCGTAGCCACCCCTAAATTTCGGGATAATTTATGGGCGGCGCCAGCTGGGCCAAGGATTTTCCCCGGATCGAGTGGAGTTTCTTTTACTACCTTCTTCCGAAACATCATTGTTACGCAAAAAACCAAATTTGTCTGGATTCCCGCTGAAACATGTTTGTTAAACTTTCCATTTTTCTGTGAATTTAGTTAAATTTTAACGCTTTCCAAAGTTTTTCAAATCCTCACTGTACCCGCGAGAAATTGCAAGAAAAATTGGTTCTTTTGCATTATCGGGGGGGGGGAGATTTTTTAAATTATCAATAGCGGAGGTGTTTCTCAACTGAATTTTACTAGTTAAACGTAAAACTTCACAGATTTTTATTACAAAACACAAAAAGATGGCGATTTTTCGACCAAACTGAGCCGTTTCGTGAAAAGAATCGACTTTTTGAAAGCATTTCAATGTTTTTAGACGGTTTTTCAGATGAAGTATAGTTTTTATACTAAAATTTTGGTTTTAGGGTTTTGAAAAATGCGATTTTCGATTCAAATTTAATTAGGTAAATAGTTTCTAAAGTCTAAGAGTTAAGAAAAGTCTAAGATAATTTTTTTTTGTTTAAAATATAGTTCTATTTTATTAAAAACGCTATTAAAACACTCCCTATTAAGTTCTCGGCATCTTTTTCCAAAATTTTTAGAACTTTCTAGGAATCAAAAACGACAAAAACGCTATAAAAATACATAATATATTATTAACAAGTCGGTATAGAAGCAAAAATAAATTTAGTTTTCTCTTCCCCCTCCCCCCCCGCTAACATTCCAGTACCCCCTGCATACCTTGTCGATTTTTGGCCATCTCCATATATTTTTTCGTGGCGGGGATCATTTTGTTTTTCTAGTGGCCCTTGGTGGCCTTTCAGAGGCGCCCATCTTCCCCTCCAATATCTTCTGCTGTGGGGCTTCACGTCAGCTTTTTTCCAGGCCCCCTCAAAAAAAGACCCCAAATCCGGGGGTCTCCGCGGTGCAAATCGCCCCCCTCTGGGCTGACATGGGCCAAAAGAGGGCCCTCATGGCAATCTGGCCATGGCCCCCTGGCGGCCATTGACCATCAGATTGCCCATCAAGGGGGCAACGATTTTGCATATTTGTTTTTCCTTTTTTTACTGCATTTTGCAATTATTAATATTTTTGATTTTGGAAATCGTATAATATTAAAAATTCGCAAGTTTTAATATTATACGATTTTGCATTCTCGTTTTTTATTGGTTTGAGGTATTTTTAGGCAGATTTAGGAGAATTATTTTTATTGCGACGAAAATCGTTTGGTTTGAATAAACGCAAAAACACCGACCTTCAAAATCCCGACAGCCAAAATTCCGAAATACAAAATCCGGACATCGAAAATCCCGACAGCTACAATCCCGACAACGAAAATCCCGACAGCCATAATCCCGCCAGCCATAATCTCGACACTCAAAATCCCGACAGCCAGAATTCCCGTCAGCCAAAATCCCGACATTGAAAATTCCGACAGCCAAAATCCCGACAGCAAGAATCCCGACAGGAAAAACTCGACGGCCAGAAACCCCAGATTTTAAAATCATTTATGGATAAAACGACCGGAAATATCGCATTATGGCTGTCGGGGATTTTCGATGTCGGGATTATGGCTGGAATTCTGTTGTTTTATTGGTTTTAGATATTTTTTAGATAGATTTACCGGCTTCATTTACTTAGTTGAAAATCATTTGATAGAAATTGCATTTTGTCGAAACACAATTTTTTTGAAATATCACCCTCCTTAAACCCTGCGTAATTTTCGAAATTCTGATGGAATTTCTAGGTTCCCGGCTGGTTTAAAATTTAGTGTTTCAATTTTCAAAATGGCCTCGGATTCACCAATATCAAGGAATTGAGCGCGAATAGGACACTACGACATGTAATCCCCGCGCTCTTAAAAATTCGATTTTGCTATATATTTCGTCATTTTAGAGTTCGCCTCCATTTTTTGTTTTCGTAAATGAACCGTAATTGGGGCCACCGTTGAAAAAGAGTGTTTCGAACATTGGCAACAGTTAGGCAAAAACTAGATTTTTACTTTTCCGTTTCGAAGGTTAAACCGAAACCTGCAGACCCGCGTTCCGCCTTTAATGCCCTTTCGGGCCTGCTGGATGAAATTAGTCTGGAAAATTCAATTTGGAAAAGAGGTGTCACTCTTTCTAAGGGAGGTCTTCTTCTCTTCTTTGGCTTCTTCCGAAGATCCGCCTTCTCATCGTGGTGTCCGTTTCCAATTTTCGGCCCTTTTTGGGAAGGGGCCCCCTCCCAAAAAGGAGAAGCCTTTGGAAGACACAGAAACACGGCTTCTTCCCGGCTGCTAATTCTTTTCTGCGTTTTTAGATTTGGTTCTGGCTCTCACTCACTCGCTCTCTCTCTCTCTCTCTCTCTCTCTCTCTCTCTCTCTCTCTCTCTCTCTCTCTCTCTCTCTCTCTCTCTCTCTCTCTCTCTCTCTCTCTCTCTCTCTCTCTCTCTCTCTCTCTCTCTCTCTCTCTCGGTGGAAATTCTTTTTCTTTCTGGATATTTTTGGATCTGAAAAATTTGGCCCGATTACTTTACGTCTTGATATTAAAATCACATTTCATAGCGAAACACGAATTTTCGGCACCGGACTGTTGGCGGGGGGATTCGGCGGGGAACTAATTATTAGTTTTCAGCCCATATCTATCTATGATAATTTTTTGTGCGCTTTTTATCTAAAATATTTTTTCCATAGGGCCCTACGAAATTAATGAGCATAAATAGTTTTTACGTATCTGTCTTTTCTTATTGTCCCTTGTTTTCTTTCACTGAAGATCGGTTGGAAAATCCGATAAAACTAGCGTTCTGCGTATTATTTTAAGATTTTTATAACTCTACCAAGCTGTCATGCGAAACATTTTTTGGTGATACCAACAAAATAAAAATTTGCTCTGTACTGGCGTACGGCCCAACAGCGAAATATGAATTATTTTTATAGAATTTTACGCAGTTCTTAGGTCCAAAAAGTACGTAAAAACTTTTAAACTTTTTCCTGCTGGGAAGAAATGTTTCGAAAATAACTGAATAAGGCTAAAGGTGCAATTTTCAATTATTCACAGCTTTTTTAATGATTTCTAATTCGCTAGCAACCAAAAATCCACTAAATACAAATAAAATAAAATAAAATTAGTTGGTTTGGAAAGCGATAAACAAAATTATTTACTAAAAGCGGCTATAAAACGGCTATACGGCTTGTATTTTTAATGTTTGCCTTAAAAATAACGTATTTCTGTTTATATTTCAGGTTTAAACTTTGCAATAAATTGCTTTAAATCACCCGCATTTGCTCAGAATTTCGTGCGTTTTCCCACTGGACTCTGAGGAGCCCTGAAAGCAGCCAACCAAATTTCCGGAAATGTTTCCATGAGTCCGCAGCGGCCAAAAAATTGTTCCCCTTTTTCCGCGCGAATTGCTAATTTTTTTTGGTACGTGGAATTTTCTAGTTTTGACTAGCAAAAACCCTCTGGGTGCTGGATCCAATTGGCGATGACATCATATTCCGAAGCTTTGAATTTGACGAAACTTCTGTTTTTTTCAAAACTCTCTGTTTGGAGTAAGCGAATTAATTTTTCAATGCCGTGACTCTTTGAGCCGCTTGCCGCGCGGGATTTCTGCCAAGCAGGAAAATTTTAATTTTTTGTTAATGTATGGTTTAGTTAGGTTCAGATAAATTGTCGCATTAGTAACAAAGACTTTTCCTGTAAACTAAATGCTTCAAAGAATCTCAATATTTTTATAGAAACGTGGAATATAATAAAACGTTTTCTTCTATGGGACGCTGGGGTACTCAGGCGCAGGGGTTG